TGTCACACAGTCCTATGTGAACTATTTCCGCCCAGAACGTTGGTCCTCTGCGTGCCCAGTTCCATTTTCTTAGCCACCTCAGCAATATATCCTGTAACTGTCAAGTCCAGTCCGTGAAACGCGGGTGGTCGTCTTTAAATTGTAGGTTACTCAGATGTGTTGTTGCCATTTACGATTTAAGCGCTTAGTGGTGGTGTGGTTTCTCCTGATGAGAACAACGACGTTTCATTCGGGAGCTGTTCGATTTGGAACAACGTGGAATTTGTACAATGCCTGCCCTTCGTCATGCGCTGAAAACCGGTGGGACATATAGTGGTATGGTTGCTATGCCTGCATTCTTAACATGCGCTGTAAACCCTAGGGATTTGTGGCATGTCGTCAATGCCTGTCTGCACATGCGCTGAAGTCTAATGGATGTCCTACTTTCTGGCCCTCATTCCCACATGTCTTCCAAGTGGATGTTTTACATTCTTGCCATTCCCACATGCCTTCCAAGTGGAAGTTTTACATTCTTGCTTCCATGCATTCGCACATGCCTTACAACATTCCTTCCAAGTGGAAGTCTTCAAGCCTTCCAAGTGGAAGTCCTACATTTTTGCTCACATTCCTTTCCCACATGCCTTCCAGGTGAATAAACTACAACCTCTAAAGACATTTTAGAATTACTTCTGTGAGTAAAGTCGATCACATTGTGAATCTGAACATGTTGGGGAAATGCTGAGAAGGAGACTTACAGATATGCACTGATGATGTCTTCGAAGCTTCTACAGTTTTCAAAAGGGAAGTCAAACCCTTCAGACAGTTTTAGACATAGCTACAGTTTTAGACAACTACCTTTCATCATGTAGATTTTAGTTATTTTATATACTGTTCTTCAATGTCCTTTTATGTTTGTAACTGACAATTAGCCTCTGGGCATGAATTTGCAATAAACTTCTCAATTATTATAATAGAAGAAAAAGATATCATAATAATAGTACCTGTTTAAATGCAGCAGAGCTCAGAAGACTGTCGGTACAGATTCACAAGAAGTTTTAGTCTTGTGAATCTGTACCGACTTCATGAACATCATGGGAGTCTTGTCAATCTGTACAATTTCCACAATGTCCCAAGGGTTTCCTGGAATTTCACTAGGTAGGAATTGTATGTCAAGTGTATGTCCCACATTCTAGCCACATTCCCCACATGCCGTACCCAGTGAATGGTTAGCATTTTGTCCTCAGGCATGCGGAATGTCCACAGGCATTTCTCTGACCCACATCTATGCCCACATTCCTATAAACCCTTGGGAAGATCTGTCTGCCCTATGGCCCTGCTTTCTGTGACCCCGGGGCTCGTTCACTATACACTCAGGGGAGGAGTGCACTGTATCTGTCTAGACTTAACAGGTACCATCATGGCAGTGTCATGGCAGTGCCATGCAAACAATAACCCTAACAGCAACCACCGTCGCCATGGCAATGTATGTTTTCATTGCCAGTCTTGTTTTTATTTTTTTCTTTCTTTCTTTCTTTCTTTCTTTCTTTCTTTCTTTCTTTCTTTCTTTCTTTCTTTCTTTCTTTCTTTCTTTCTTTCTTTCTCTCTCTCTCTCTCTCTCTCCCCCTGTCTCTCTTTCTTTCTTTTCCTTCATTTTCCTTACTTTAGTTAGGACCAATTTCAGTACTCGATGAGATACTCAGGGTAACACTGCGCGCTGTCGAAGATGACAAAAATCTTAGGATCGGACCTGCTGTTCACACAGGAGTCAAAGGTCTTCCCGAGCGGCTCGGCAGGGTTGAGAGGGGGAGGGCGGCGCAGACTGGACTGCCCTCGGGTGTACGCACCGACCAGCACTTTAGCCACGAACATGGTCCTGCGTCCGGGAGCGCCCTGTTGGGCGTAGTCGTTGGAATACTTGGAGCTCGTGGAGAAGTAGCTGCCCTGTCCGTACGCCGCGCCCGTGCTGGTGCCGCTGAGCCGCCAGTCGAAGTTCTGCAGGCAGATGGCGTCCACTGCCTCGGGTCTGGTGCCGTGGAACAGCTGGCGCTCTTCTGGGTCCGCCCCGCCACTCTGCTTCTTCATCTGAGCCTTCTTCCTGTGGGTAGAGAGGAGGCAGAAATTGGAAGGTTGAAGATGGATGGATGTCTATCCCTTCTCTAGAGTCATTTATCTTTTCAGAAGGTTTAGGCGTTGGTTTATTTTTGGCGTGTTTCTAGGCGTTTTTATCAGGCTCTCTTTTTGTACTGGTATTTTTTACGGCAAAAAGGTAATGCCTGTCTGGTAAATTTGATACTGTCTTTGTGGCCACCTTCAGACCTGCAGGTTAACAAATATCATGCTCACCTGACGTAAGCGCTCCACAGGTAGGGGTTCTGTACACGTTTGATGTTGCCGATGGGAGTTCCCGCCATGCCCTGCTGGTCGAACAGCGCCTTGACCTGCTGGTACTCGCCGGCCGTCGGTCCGCTGGGGGAGAGGGGCACCTCGTCATAGTCGTCCCCGTCCTCGGCCATCGCGAGCCAGTGGGCGGGCAGCGAGTCGTCTACTCCCGAGGAACCTGACGTCAGCCTACGGCGGGCTGTGGGCTTGTTCCTGGGGAGAATAAATCGCATTAATAACTATAAATATAACTTAAAACCCTTGCTGCTCCCAACATGTAACAATTGCGAACAGATACAAAATTGGTGCCAAAAGGCTACGTTAAGCCTACTCTCCAAGCAGAGATTGAGTAACGATCTTCCCCCCATCAAACTCTGCTTGAAGAGTACATAAACGGGACTGCACGTCAACCAGGGGCGAACCCACCATCGTCTCTTGTGACGCACCAGTTCTGCCTGCCTATCTTCTTCAGCTACCAATGCCAAAATACTAAGAAATACGTTGTAACGGTGACGCGCTCTAGCCAACCTCAACCTCAGGCGGGCTTGCAGGTTGCCTGCAGGTTGCACCAAACGCTGCATCGCCATCTTCAGTGTGACGTTTCGTCTTCGTACAGAAAAAAACGTATGGGTTTTGCACGCCGAGCAGCGTTTTTATATACCGCCTCGAAAACACGACGGTGATTCCACCAGCAGCCGTTCGGCACCCCGCCGCACCCCGCACGGGTCAAGACGGGGCACCGACCGGGCATCGGACGGGTCCCTGGCAGAAATCGTCAAAAGGAACAAAAGTTTGTGGATTTTAGACAGAAGCCGCCCCAGCGCCGGCAGGAGCACAACCGGGCCCCGACAGGGAGCCGTAAAGGAACATATAGATATTATAGTCAACAATAGATATGCCACAAGTCTTAACACTTTTGTTAGTGTTCTGCCCCCTGTATAACGGCACGGTCCAAAAGTGGTCGGTTATTCTAATAAGCGACCACTTTTGAGGTTACGGCCTGATAACCGATGGGAAATGGAGCCTTCTGATTGGGACAGTACGTTCTGCCGACGTGCCATCCAAAAGAGAGTATAAACGATGACGTTCAGACTTTTACCTTCTCGGATTAATGACGTCATCCTCGGACACGAAGCGAGGCCGCCGTCTGACGTCACGCCTGGTCTTGTAACGGACGTTCTCCTGCCACATGTCGCGCAGGCGCAGGACGTACTGATGGTGCTGTGTGCTGAAGCTCAGTTCGGCGTCAGGCTGGTCCTGGTACCGCTCCTCGATATCCTGACTGCTCAGGCTGCTCTGGCCTCGGTCCGCGCCGGAGGAGTTCTAAAGACGGCGTTGGAGTAATGCTTTTATGTTATAGGTTATACATTGTAGCAAGGAAGTTGGCCTATAAGTGATGCGAGCTTTGTACCACAATGCTCATGCTGCATTTTTTTCTATGAAGGTACGATGTACCCATTTTGTTAAATACAATGTTGTAACAAAGGTTTAATATGTTCATAACTGGCGATTTATGTAAGACTGGCATACATTATCTCGCCATGCCAGACAGCCAGCCGGACGGACGGACATGCATATAAAGAAAGACGGACGGCCGAACGAACATACAGACAGACAGACAGACGGACAGACATATATATAAAGACAGACACTAACCATCTGACAGACAGACAGACGGACGGACAAACAGTAGTATGACAGAAGGAACCAAGGCCATTGGTCATCCTCGACCACGAGGGATGAACAAGTTGTAGGACAGAAACCTTCACGGTTGGGAACAGGTCCAAAGTGAGTGACATGCTGTGCGGAGTCATCAATTCCTTCCAATTTGTCCTTAAGGTCAATCTGTGGTAACCAAATCACCTTTCCTGTCACTCGATCTAATGCATTCAAATATACCTTAAAACAATACCTCCGTACCAGGAGGTAATAATTCTATTCTTGATGTACTAAATCAAAAAGACTTAAAAAATTTCCTATCCTATCATAGCTGTCCGCTTCATAATAAAAGTCTCACCATCTGCCCGTATTCCACCCACGTCCCGTCCACGTCCTGCCAGTACCACAGCCACTCCGTCACGAACGGGTACCCGGCAGGCTTGGCCCCCCACGACGGCGTGGTCAGCCTCCGCACCTCGGTCTCTATCTCCACAGCGGTACCGGTGTTCCACAGGCGCTGAAGCAAGGACGAGGGGCCCTGTTGCGACCTTGTCTTCATGTCCTTGAAGTTCAACACATACTGATTCCTAAAACAAACAAATGAGCGTCAATCAATAGTTCGTGCTTATAAGAGGGTCTGCATGGGGGGGTCCTGGCAACGGTTAACGGTAAATTCAGCAGGGCCGATATCGTTTAACGGTAAATTCAGGACGGTCGGCAATGCTTAACGGTAAATTGACAGGCTTTTTTTCGAGCTGCACTGGATTTGGTATCTCGCTTTGTGAGGAAAGGTGATCACTGACAAAATTACACCTTACATGTGTTCCCCACCTGCCCTGGTCCCCGAGTGCGTCCACAAATAAAGGGGAGTCCAAGTCGACGTCGGCCAAGGCTCTACCCAGCTTGCCTTTTTCCGTACGCCCAGTTTTTACCGATGGATTTTGACAGGCTCGCAATCTGAGGGGGTCACTTTAGGATTTCTAAGCCTTCAAAAACGCAATTTCCCGCATTTTGAGAGGCAAATCATGGTGTTGAGAGTGTTTGTCGGTCCTTCTGGTAATTAACGGGAAACTGGTGCTGGCTAGAGCCGAAGGGGACCGAGCGCAGGAGCGCGAGTCGCTCGCCAATGGCCAATGTAGGGGGTCCGGGGGCATTCTCCCCCGGGAAATTTTGTATTTTTAAACCTTCAATGACGCATTTTCCTGCACTTTGAAAGGCAAAATTAGGCGTAACGAAGAATTATTCATTAACGCTTAACGCTGAATTTAGGATGACAAATAACGTTTTACGTTGAATTAAAACGACCAATAACGCTTCACGATGAATATACTGATAACGCTTAACGTTGAATTAGAGCGGGTCGGCAACGATTAACGGTGAATTTAAATAGCCCATAACGGTTAACGAAAAAGGGCATGCAGGCCCTCTTATAAATCCGCTTTTCTAAGATTCTCCAGTATCATTGACGAAAGATAGTGGATACTACCTGAAGCGTCTGATCGTTTCCAAAATCATATCCAGTTGAATGAGTAACTGTGTTTTGGGCGTAAGTGACCGTAAACTTTAATCTAGGTGTAACGTTATAGACTTACAAAATTGACTTATTACTAGCAAAGCCGTTGTCAGAGAAGATCCGTTAGACAACTGAGATATAGCATACGTGTATAAAGGTTACTCACCCAGTAAAATAATACTTGTAACGTTAAACATACACACACAGACACACGCACAATGTAACTATAATAGTGTTTAGACATATCATAATATTCAGATATCGGTCTTTATTATATTATAACATTAAAATATTGGCCCCTTACATGTTTAAGTCGAACTCGCAGTCTTCCTTGCTGACATCACAGAAATGCTTCTCTATGAAGATATTCAAATCGTCGTCATAGTTTTTCCAGCTCTCGTTCCCAGGATGGCGATACTGCCACTGGTAGGGCATGGCACAGTGCCAGTTGTGACAGGTGTCAGCGAAGGAGCACCTTGTGGGTGAAATATATATATATGTCACGACTAATTGCAATATGATAGCACAATAGATTGTTGTTGAAGGACCCCTACAAAAGTTCTTAACAGTCCTCAAAGTCTGCGAAAGCATCTATAGCAATCCTCACGATATAGAGATGTTAAGTAAGAATTCAACCATGAACTAAGCAACATTCGCGTCGAATGTTAACTACATTTCCGGGGTGTATGGTGCGCAGAATCATTCATGTGGCAAGGGATGTACCAGTGCGAGCGTTTGTGTATGATGAGTCTGTGTGTATGCCTGTGAATTCCGGCTTTGGTCTCACCTGCTCCTCAGGTTAAAAGTGCAGATCTCCGTGCCCTGCCCCGTACCGTCGTCCCCCTGTCCGGCGGAACCTCCTCCCCCACTCGGCATTCGTTTCCTAGCCGCAGGCATGGCGGCGAGCTGTGCGCTCCTGGGTGGAGTTGCCCCGACCGGCACATTAAACCTGTACATCTCCAGTAGGAAACTCTCAGGTTGCGAAGCGTCGATCCCGAAATCACTCAGAACCCCAATGGGCTGCGAATCGTGCAGGTTGTGGGAGAAAGAACAGCGTTGTGCGCCGAACCTGCACTCTCCTTTCAGGTAGAACTGACAGACGTGCAGGAACGTACAGGTGTGGCCCTTGCTGCAGCCTTTATGTCGGTTGTTGTACCAGGTACAGGCTAGGGGCAACCTTGCAGAAGTCGTCGGGGCGCGTCCTCGTCCCCTCCCGCCAATCGGAGCCCGACGAGGAGACGGCTGTCCTCTTCCCGCCATGGCTTTACTAGATCTACACTGACTGATGGAAAGTTCTGTGCGGTTGTTATGTAGACCTGCTGGGCTGTAAACAAACACTGGTGAGAAGTTTTGCAGGTAACACAAAAGCGGAAGTAAACCACGTCACAAGTTTCGGTCCGTCGACCCCTGAACTTGGGGATCATGGGACGATATAAATAATCGATCTCTTTGAAATTTGATGAAGAACACATATCAACGGTCCTAACTTGATGGAAAGATCGAGTAGGTAACGTCATGGAGCACATTCGTCTTTAAAAATTGAGCGTATTAAATTATTTATGTTGGAAAAGGCAAGTTCTTGACGACCAATCTGTGCTGCATACACGAAACGCTAGGTGACGCACAAAACAGGTCCGCTAACAATCAGCAAGCAGATGTTAGTCTGGAAAATCCTTCAGCCAACAGTAAACCTTTAAACCTTTCTCCACCCCCACCCCCACACCCATGATCCTTATTATTATCACCACTATTCTGATAATCGATTGACAAGTCACACCAACTCTTCTCACACATCTTTTAGTGACATATTACTTTAAAGCTTTGGGAAATGAAAAAAAAAATCAAACACACATTCTTATTAATAACAGATGTACGTTTTATTAGGTACCACTGTAGAATTCCAATAAATTATCATGGTAACATTGTACATGAACATAAATAACAAACACCTGGGATAGCCATGACTTAAAAAAAATCCTAAAACTGGAATTAACAGCTACATAAGATAACTAGACTTTGCAAATGTTACCAGTGCTTGCTGCACTTATGTCAAATATGATAAACAAAATGTCATGTGTACAATGATGTGTAGGCAGGCGACAGTATAGTGATTAAACTGGCAGAAGCACAATTATGTTTAGTTTCTTGATAACTGACAGTACAAAAGATTTAAAAAAGCACCTTATAAATGATAAGAAGGATGCTAGATACTTCTAACAAGGTACAAGAGTTAAAATTGTAATTGAACAGAATATTCATGTTGTAATGGTGTTAACAGTATTATGAATCATAAATACTAATATTTATTTTCACAAAGTGACAATGAATCATGTATACTGTATTCATTTGACATGAAGCACCAAGGTATCTGAGCAGATCAAAGCCTAACTGGTACAAGGTACAGTGTCCTGCCAACTGGTGATATAGGAACAGCTCAATGCAGTTCTGTAACATTCTGCTAGGTGGCATGATTAGACCACATTATAGTTCTTGAACCACCTGAGGTTTCTAGTAACATGCAGACCTGTCACAAAAGTCACTTGTGAATTTTTGTATCCAACAATTGTTTGTGAAGCCATCTATTTTTGTCATCTGTATCAACACATTGTAAAAGGCACTACGGTTTGCTACGGCATTCCTGCAGAGTTGTAACTGTTGTGTTTTCATACATGCCTTAGCCCTAACAGCAACTGGAACACAATTGTTCTCCCACTGCTCTTGAGTCTTGTGGCAGTGGATGAGTTTAAGGATTGGTATATGCTTTGTGCAACTGTTTTACAATAAAACATGCAAGAGATTGCACCATTATATGTAGTGTTAGCCAAACATTATTATTGTTTTTTTAGTCTATATTTTGAGCCATGCTAGTATTCTCCAACTCTATTCTATACAAGTATAATCACTGTCTCCTCCTTTTTACACACGTGCTTTAAATTTAGTGTTTAAGTCCTGGTCAATCCTGTTATTCAGACCTTGTTCATATAACACATATAAGTGCTACATCTTTATTACTCCCATAGAGTAATAAAAATTCACATGAGAAACTTGTGCTACATCCAAGCTTACACATGTAACACATCTTGTCATTCAAAAGGCTGAAAAATAAAAATGATGCTTGATTAAAAAGTTTACTTCTAAAACGTACTTACATTTTACTATCAAACTTGGATGAGAGTAAATTTTTACAAGTATGTTTCACAGTACATCACTATAAGGCACGTGTATATACTATTTTGTGCCTCTCTGATATTACCATGTCTTAGCTTTTTCTCTATATGATATTAATATTACACATGGGCTTGCACCTCTGTGATAATAACTTAAACATGAACTAAAACATTCTGGCCTTACCAAAATACTTTTTAAGGATGGCAACACCCACTTGAGATATTGAAGAATACAAGAAAGGAAGATTATTCATAAACCTGAATTGCCTTCCATTTTGGCCCTGTTTCACTTGACAAAGATAATAGCTAGGCTGAAATAAGTTTAACTACATGTAAATTACCCAGCAAAAGGAAACTGGTATCAAATGATGTCATTATGGGACATAAAAATGTACACAAATTAAAAATTATTAGTTTTAAAGAATTTGTAGCCAAATGGATGCTTCAGTGTGCTGAAGGTTAAGACCTCTAATTTTCCATTGTAGAAATGTCAACCAAAGAGTTGTCCTGGCCTGGCCCTCTCCCGGTCCACTGTGGACAGAACTAGCACCGACCAGCATGGGTAGATCACGTGACATTTTTATTGGTACCACATCATACGGCCTCCTCATGTCAACAACTTGTCATGGACATCTGAAAAACAGGAAAAAAATACATTCATAAGAATGGAAACACCAGATGTCTAAAACACCATCTTTTTTCCATTACCAATTTTACAACACTTCTAGACTGGACATCAGAGGGTGAAATGTCATGGAGTAGTTCCAATCCTTCCAACATAATAATTATATAAAATATAAGAAGAACCCAAGCCCTCTCTCCTGCAAAACATCATACAAGGTCCTTACTTTATGACACATTGGAACATGTACATGTACACCAACTGAAGATTAACAAGTGTTAGGTCTGTTTACCAGTTTTGTATTGGTAATAATTGGGTTAGGCAGCAGGGAGAAGGTTATGAAATATTCCAGAAACAATATATGCCAATGTTCTATAGAAAAAAAAACAACCTTTCAGTAGGATATATAGACCTACAATTACATGATTGTACAATGTATTATGATGTATCCTGAAATGCTCAAGACCTGTTGTCCACGGTAACTGTAGACCAACAAAGTCCTGATCCTCTCTCGACCACATGAAAGGTCCCACGGGATAAATCCCCAGATCAGTGATACTTCAGTAAATATAACTTATAATCCTGTGCTCTAACCTGTAAGAGCTATGACAAAGTATCCAGGACCCCCTTGAGATGCAATGTTCTGAATAATTTAACAGAGGAAGGACCAAAACCACCTGATACTGCAATTTGATTAAAATCTTTATCTTTATTCTTTATTTCAGGCGCAAATTGGCCCATAGTAGACAAACAATTAAAATAACAAGGTGCACACATAGTAAAAATGGTAGGGTTCGGTACATATACAAACGGGAAAGGCCTTACCGGTAGACTAGGCCGATATAGTGATCCCAGTAGTGACTGGTGGATGATAAGTCTGAGTGGATTGCGAGTTTTATGATACTGTTATTACTGTTGAGGAGCCGATTGGTGAAAGAGTGTGTTAGTTTACGTCTGCGAGCATCGAAGGTATCGACAACCTCAGTCACAAACATTCGACTGGCGCTCTCAAATTTTCCATATGAAAACAATATTCTAAAGGCGTTGTTATAAGCCGTTCGGAGTTAAAAGGAACCGACTACATTGGGATTAAACTTTAAAACGAAGGTGATTGACTTCCTGTGTATCATTTTTGGATTTACATTACCTGCATATGTATCATCTAAATGTATAAGTCACCTTTTCATGTGCTGCTTAACAACTTTTTGGTAACAATTGTTGACAAAGAATATGGCATGAGATGTAGAAAAAACAACTGTTACAAAAATACCTGGCATGTTATCCAGTGAATGTGGCAAGAACAATTAGCTTTTGTACACACTACGGAATAAGGATGGATGGGTACATTCCCAAGAGACTCCTGGCATTCTGCCCTAATGGTCAGAAGCAATAAGTTAAGAAATGGTTCTGTGTGGATTCCGCTCAAAATTAATACATACAAATGGCTGTAGAATACGGTAGACATCCTGGCATCTTGTTAGCAGGTGACACAGAAATGCTGACAATGCAAAACAACTAGAGTATACAAACAATTGCACAACTATAACCTTAAGGCTTTAGCTATAAGGCTTTCTGTTATCTGTAACAGCATCAGTTTAGTAGTATTGCCAGCTATGCAGGTTGTAGCATGCACAGTTCAGTGGTTATCACTTCAAAGGGCCAAAAGGTTACGCCAGCTGGCTGCATTTCACTCATCCAACTTGCATGCTACTGGAAAGGGTTGCAGTCCTTACAACAGGACATCAAGTGATGGTCTACTGTTCATAGTAAATGTCAAAAAGAGTTAAAGGATTTCTCTAGTACATTGAGCAGGACATAGCTTTTGTCCTTCTTTACATGATAACTGTTGACACAACTGTAGACGGTTTTCAGAAAGCAAAAACGAGATTGTGATACATTCCATCTCTACATGCATTCTTGTACCTTTGGCAAAAATGAGTAGTGAAGACATGCCCTAGCCCCATCCCCTTCTAATAGGTGAAGAGAAAGCTGTCTTAATTGTTTTGTTCTCACGACCTCCCTACCTGCCAAACCACCTGTGAAAATCTACAACAGAGGACAATCACTATTGTCAGCCAGGCCTGAGCCGCCTGAAGGACCTGTCACTCTCATACTCCTGTTACAAATCATGATCTACCCAGTAATTCAGTAAAAAGGCCATTAAAGGTATTTAGTAAGTTTAGGATTTGCAAACCTAACGAAGAGTATAATGTTATTATTAATGTTGATTATGGTATCACTCTTTCAAATCACATTGAAAGGTTAACTTTGACTACCTCCTAAAAATCATGAAGAAATTGTTATGAAACAAGGTTTGAGATCTGTCAAATATCCCGCCCATCAATCATTAGTGTTTGTCCCTCTGATGTTTTTTGAAGACAATACCTGTACGCAACATAACCTCAGGCCATGAACCAAGAATTTTTCAGGATATCGATGTGCGGTATTTTTTTCTCAGTAGCACAAGACAGTCAATATTTTGTTGCGATTGTAGCAGATGCAACAAAACATGTCTTATTATTGCTGTTTTCCATTCCAGTGATCTCTTCCTTTTAAAAGAAAAAAGTCTGATTCACAATTTGTAAGTTTTACCTCGACACTGTTCTGACAATCCGTTTTTATATCATCTGAACATTTCAGTGTCCATTTGGGACATCTTTTTCATACTGTTTGGGACCTTTAGGCCTCTGGATCAAAATTGATGATGATCAAAGAGATTTAACCCACAACATGAAGGTAGTGACTGTATTTTGGTGCTAAAAGGTATAATCATAGTCACATAAAACTATTGTATGTCCACCTCATTTAGTCCTTACACACACAGGTGTGTGCAAGATTTATTGTTGCTCTTCCTCTCCTTTGTGTGACACACAGGTAGGTTGAGGAACAAAGGAACCGCAAAAGAAACTTTAGGGCTTGTTCATTAGACTAGAGAACTAGGCAGGATGTTCACCTTTGTGACCTTTGTGAAGAAAAACTATGTGTATTTGGGAAGAACAAAATATTTAGTAAAACGTATACAACAGTTACTACTTTCAAAATCAAAAATCAATCTGAATTGAAGGGGGTGGGGGATACAATGGAATTCTAAAATTTTCAAAATGGGATTAAAATTCCCCATACAACCTATAGTTTGTTTACTTTTATGTTTGTTGTCAGTAACTTCAAAGACAAGAACCGAAGAAGCTTATATTTGGGTCATCTATACACTCTGACATGACAGTTGAATGAACAATTCCTTTACTCACTCAGTGTACTGCAGCATACATACATGTGTACATGTATACGACATTATGCATGAAACCCAGACCATACTTCCTTAGCAACGAGACAGGCCCAATAACATTGAGTAATTTCCTGGTGGCGAACAAATGATTGATGGAAATTTCAGACGGCACAAAGCATGATGAAAAGGTCTGAAACCATCGCATTAATAATTAAATACCATCATGATCATGTAGATGTAATTTCTAGTAAAAGCTCCTCTTTTGGACTATTCCAAATTACCTTAGGGGTAAATATTATTGCTATCATTATCATTAAATCATTCCAATAACTTTATTTCAATAACAAATGAAACAAAAGTGTTTTGAAGGAAAAGACATTCTCGACTCCCACATTCTTCTAAAATTTTCACAAATCAAAGCCAATTTCTTCCTCCTCCGCAGAGATTTTTGGACCAGTCCTAAATCTTTTGTTGTCTGACCCAGCCAACACCTGAACACGCTGCATAATATGTCTAACTTACTGTTGGGGTCAGGGGTCAACCAGATAGAAATCTTTCTATTTTTAGACCATTGTTTCTGGGTGAAACATATGACACTACCTGTAACAGGTGGTATATGTCAATCCTTTGGAACACTTTGCACTTTGTTTCCAAATCATTTAAAACATTGATTCTAATCAATACAGAGAGATTCTCACATTTTGTAGATAAATATTGACCCCAAGACCTCATGTCAAATGTGAGTTTGCCTCTATTATCTGCTTATAATATATGTTGACAGTAGTATTTTATGCCAGTGGCCCATTGTATGTAGGAGCTTCTGAACTGCATGTAAAAGAACACAACACACTTATCGAAAAGGATGACCTGGTGTGCTTGCATAACTGAAAAATGTGAGATGTGACGAGACTACATTGTACTGAAAAGCTTATTATCTGAGGACAGATTCTTTACCTTTCCCCGACATTTTGTAGTTTAGTTATAAGTAGCTGTTCCAAAATTCAAGCACATGCTTTGCAAATCCACTTGTGAAACAAACTACTATGACTGGAATGTTTCAACCACACCCAGATGTGTCTCTAGCCCTTGCCATGTCTCCCTCAATCAGAAGTTAGGCTTTCCAGTCTTTCTGTGCCACTTTAGCTGAGGGTTAAGTGGGTTTATCTGACAGTCTTTGATGTCTTTGAAATTGGCGTAAAAGCCCTAAATAGGGTGTGGCTCTTAAATGTTTGAAGGCATCAGTGTCAACAATGGCTTAGACATTCAGGGATGAACCTGGCAGCCTGAAACCCAACCTTGTCAGCTATAGATATACTAAACAAGACTGGATTTCAGGCTTTGAACCTTATGTAACGTGAAAATCCCCTTTGAACACATACCGGTATCTCCTATTAAAACTGAAGACGACATTTTAATCTATAAAGAAATAGTTACGTGTTATTATTATTATAATGCTTCACGTTCCTCTCATCCAGAATAAGGTTATTCCTATTTTCTACCATCATTACAATTTACAACTGCTCTTTACGTTTTTTGAAAGATACCAATTATGATTTATTCTCATCATTATCTAATTAAATCTAGAAATGATAACACTGCTACACTGATGACAAAAATTTCATAAGAGGTAGAGGTAATTGAAGGGAAAAGCCTAGAGTATCAGCATAAGGTTATAATCCCAGAAAACGTCAAGTTCAAGAACAAACTCTCCAACCCCTACAAAATCATTTGGAACAGTCCAAACATCTGTACGTTTTAATCACTGGGTGATTACTTCAACTTGTTGTATCAACTAATCTGTCATGTGGGGGCTTCCTTCCAAATTTCCCACCATCTGATAACCTTCTGACTTTGACAAAATACATTTGATCTTAATCTTTGGAAAGAGTGATTGCACATATGGAGATAGATTGTGTGGGATGACTCTTCTCAAGTTCAGGATTAAATAAATCAATCAGGACTGTCGCTGTGACCTTTAATCTATCCTGTTGCTATGGGTTACCGATGTTTGGGATATCAGGAGGATTACTGGAGCAGATGAACTTGGAAATGGCTTTCTGACGAGATTAATTAGATGTCTATAGAGTTACATTTGTTTTAGCAGGAAAAACAAAAAGATGGTGGGTATAACTCAAGAGGCAAAACATGTACTGCTACTGCTATTTTTTAAGGAAAAGTTCTTAGATTGGACAATACTAAGCACTTTACTAAGAAAGCTATTAGAATGTCCACATGTCAGAAAAATTCCTTAGCCAGTCAACCTTTTAAGTCTATACTGAGTTTTAAATGATATGCCATTCTAGAAGTAAACACAGTGCAGAATACATTTGTAGCACTGGATATGGTGGCGTGGGTTTACTATGCTTACTATGCTAGTGTTTTGTGGAGAGAAAGCCTCGGAATTTTAAGACACCTAAATGATGTCGACTATTTATGTCTTCTGAAGACTATTGAATATACATTCAGCTTAACAAAAACACAACAATAGATGCTTCCTGTCACACCTAACTAGGGCAGAATGGGAGATATGAATGGCAAAATGACTTCACTAAGTTGTCTTAACATAAAATCTTCGTCAGGCGCATTTTTACACACAATCTTACCATAGTCAGCATATTTTGTCTGGAAAACAGTTCAGAGGACATTCTTTCTTACAATGGAAAAGGTAAACATACTCAGGATGGCTGTGCAGTTGAACACTTTGGAAAGGCAGCGGCGAGTTTTCGGCTCATTAGTAACGTTACAAAACAGTATTCCACAAAGGAAATTCCTCTTAGAAGCCTTTTTCTTATGTCCAGCTTCCGTTATACATTGTACCTGTTGTTTTCGGCTAAAATAATGCAGTTTGTAGTTTTATGCACTTGATATGCTGACAGTAGAAACCCAGCTGCATTTACGCATCACATATTTACTTCATTTGACCAGCAACGGGAATATACAGGAATTAGAATATAGGGGTGTAACATTAACCATTTTTTTACCGATTATTGAATTTTTTAATCGTTCTTCTGAATGTATGAATTTTCTTATTTTCTCAGTTCAATTCCCCCACTCTACTTAATACAGCTTTGTAATTCAACCCAAACAATATTCTTCTTTTTTTTTAGTTTTTTTTAAACTTCCCTAAATGCATCAAGAGATGTAAGTAAAGATTTGGTAAAGGTTAGATTCAAAGACAGGCCTACAGGTATGACATTAGGAAGAATGGTAACATTGTGTTTGGTAAAGAAGGCGGATTAAGAAGAGTCTGTTAAATGATGAATTATTGAGTAAGATAGTAAAATGATGGAATTTAACAATACAAGTCTCACGACACATTTCCATTTATGCCAATCCGTTTGTTAACACATCACAGCGTCTTTACAGAGAATGAAGGTCGTTCTTAAATGATAATGACAATGACCTTGAGGATGAAGCAAAGGTCACAGATGTCAGAAGGATGGGGTGGGGGCTTGACTTGAGTCTAGTAAATTTGGGAGCATGATTTTTGGCAACAATCATGGTGTTCTATATATCTATGAAGACAACTCCATTGTTCCTTTGTTTTGTAGTTTGAGTGACAGTAACTTATATTTTGAAAAGACTGTCATGATATTGATAGTGAAAGCTGGGTACCATTAGTAACAGATGGTTATGGCATATCTCTATACCCTTCACACCAGCTGGACCCATAATGCTTGTACATTGTACATGTAACAACAGGTGCACCTGTCAATGGAAAACCTTGCGGGGACTCCAAACAAACCCCTTTTACCCCATGCTGTTTTATGGCCTTGTGAACCATGTACTACCATTTCACAATGCACTTAACTACTACTAGCATACATTGTACATATCATCTACAAACCCATGCAAGAGCTTTTAATGGCTACTTTTAGGACAGCCCTAGAAGTTGCAACCAAAATGGCTACAGTAAATTTACCATAATCCTTTTAAAAGGTTTTGGGTTAAACTGGTCTGTGTAACCATGAGAATCAGAGACAAAATGGCCTTTTGAAGAAGACCAAGGATGCAACAAAGGATTTTGTACGATGTTCACTTTTCCCGGCAATAATCTTACAAGAAGACCCAAAGAAGGACAAGACCCTTCTCTGTTCCTAAGATGCAAGGAATAGCAAACAAGGTTCTGAGTATCTGCCGTATTTTCTGGAACAAAACATGTTTGCCTGTAGATTTACGTTGGATCTGCAAACAGTGGAAGCGTGCTTGATACTGTATTTTTCTAAGTACTTAAAAAGTTGTCAGTCCCACTTAGGATAGCGTGGGCTGAACAATTAGCAGGCGTGGTGCGTAGCGCAGGGCTCAAAGTTAAGAATCAAGTTACATGGCGTAACCTTATTCACCTGTTGTAACAATAGCAGCAATTTAGGTCAGAGAATGTTGTTGGACGAGAGGTCTGAGCTACTTATAACTCCTTTTTTTTTTGGTGCTACAAGTTGTATAGAAATACCACCTGTTGCATCAGACCGTGGCTTCTGTTGTGCAAAAAGAATGTGTCATTTTCCTGAATGAGCATTGTTGAAGCCTCTATCATGTGACATATTGGTGTCACATGTGTGAAAAAAAGGAAAAACGTGACTGCTCTAAAAAGTGTTTAAAAGCGGTAATGATGAAGTTTTGGCTATTCCTAATTAGTAAGTTTTAGTATATTGAATTGGCAAAAATAAAATGGCTTACTGACATAATGTATATTAGTGGTGAAACTAAACATAGATGCTAATATTATAAGGGTTAGTAAGGGAAGAGATATTATGATTGGCCACCAACAAAAACGTGTTAGGACAAAATGCACGACACACCACATAACAGCGAACGTCTAACCTTATATAATAGTTATCCTCTCGCTTCTCTTGCATCGACTACAGGTAACGCTCTTGATGCTTTCTGACCCCTCCCGTGGGATACCTTTGATAAGCTCGACGAGCTCCCGCTTCTCGAGCTCCGCCCGTTCCAGGTCCTGCCGCCGCTGCCGCTCGATTTCCATCAGCGAGCGCATCTCTTGCATGATGCGGGTCACCTGTCCTTTGAGGTCGTCGACCTCGGCTTGTAGCAGGCCCTCCCGTTGGACCATGTGTCGGCGCTGCGAGTCTAAACGCGACTCCATCTCGCGACGCTGGTCTTCCAACTTGCAGATCATCTCGGCTCGCAGGAGCTCGACCTCCGTGCGGAGCTCCGCTATGCAGTTGTGTTCAGCGTCGTCGTGGTTCAGTATCTGCATGCCACACCCCCGCGGGCACTCCTTACAGCGGAAGTCGCAAATGTTCAGGTGCACATCGAGGTTGCGGCGCTCCACGATAGTGGAGCATCCCATGTTGGGACAGCAGACAGACACGAAGCCACACTCTCTCTCGTGTTTGGAAATGTTTTCCAGTTCGCATACGACCGAGCATCCGTGCTGGGCGTTGATACAGCGAATCTGCAGCCTGTCTAAGTCATTCTTCATGTAGCGGAACAGTGGCCTGAGCTGGGTGATGTTGAGAGGCTGCCTGTCCTCGGGGCAGATCCTGTCGTGCACCAGCCAGCCGTGGATGCACGTGGAACAGAAGGCGTGCTCGCAGGGCGCCTGAAGCGGGTCTTCCAGCACGTCTCGGCACACGCAGCACAGCAGCCCCTCGTTCACAGTACCAACAAATCTCTCGATGTCGAACCCCATGCTGCTGAATCTCCCTGGCGTGCTGTCTCTTCTCCAGCGGGTGCGACTTATGCACGGGAAGTAGGGCACCAGTCAACCTTAGCAGCTCTTCACCAGTTCTGTGGGAAGACAAACACGAAGACTTAATCCCTGAATAATAGCAGCAAGTCAATTGTTAGGAAATAATACCTCTGGCTTCTTCTAGCTGCCGGCAAAGATGCCTGTAGGAAGATTCAACTTCTGTAGAATCCTTTCTAAAAGGATCGCTACCTTGTAGTAGCATAGGTGACATTCCATACTAAACCTTGCGAGGTCATGACATTCTTGTACTGAAAAGAATTTGAAGGCCAAAACCTCCAGGAAAGCCTTATTGAGTTGGTGTCATTCCGCTTGGCTTTCCACCATGTACTGAGCTATGTACCGCCACAAAGTTGCCGAAGTCCAGACTTTGGAAAGAAGAATGCGTGGATTTGGCAGTATGGCATTTCGGCAACTAAAAAACGTTTTCCTTCCATTGTGACTGACAGTCCATTGAGTCACATTGACAGACACACATTTAAGGTTAGCCATGCTCTTCCATAGTGTGCAAACGAAAGGCTCTTTAGGACATGAATGGAGCTAAAAATGGTCCTAAACTCTCTTTTGTTGTACGTTTTGACTTTGCAGCTTCCCCTCTTTTAATTTCAAAATCTATGTTGATTAGATGTATTTTGTATAACATATCTCATAGTCATGTCTATATAGCATAGCATATTATTATTACTACACATACATGAGTAGTATACTGCCCTGTTTGATGGTCTATAGCCTATACTATACATAATGTGTTTGCTGAGTATAAGAGAAAGGCAACCATGTAAGTGGTCAAATTAACCTGTATCCCTTTTTAGTTCATGAAGGCTTCAATTATGCACCTATTAGGACGGTCTACTGACAAAGCATACATAAGTAAACAAATGTACAGGTGCGCAATACATATTTCATTAGCTACATTTTAGTCCATTTTCGGATGGGGGGTGGGCAATCAGAAATAATTTTCAACAGGAACAAACTTTATGAAATCACAACAAAACCAGAAGCAGAAATATCATTTTCTGTCAGAGCAAACTGAAAGCAAATGCATACGAAGAGATTATTACATGTGAAAGCATTATAAATGGACCAATTAACATGGGAGACAAGACGGCAAATTAAGAGAATGTCCACCAAAGTTTCCCACCACCAATTACCATCCAATCCCCCTGACCAGGACATGGCAGTCCCAGTGTGTTATCTACTAATGTAATCTGCTGCTTTAATCATCATGAAGGGTGGTGCAGCTACTGTAGGGACAGATCATTACTGTTCTCTGGGGGAGGGGTCAAGGATTTGGCACAAAATCTTCTTCAAATTCTTTTCGTTGTACATCCAAGTTTAGATATGCTTAAAATTTGAATGTATATTTCCCACTTTTCTGGGGGTCTAGTCTTACAAGGTTGCAATTTCAGGTATTTTATCTTGGATTAAATCTAAGGAAGAATAGAGAATTAAAACATGACTAGTTTTGGAAACAGGGAAACCATCCATATTCATTTGACAAAATGAGGTAATACGGGTAATAAGTCATTTCATAAACCCATTGAACCATACCTTTGATATACAGTCAAACCTATACTGTGATAACCTCTACATATAAGGACCACTATGACCACTTTTTGGGTGGTCCATGGGATAATTTTTCCATTGACACAAGCACTAAGAATCCCTCTGATAGTAACCACCTGTCTACATAGACAAAATTTTTAGTCATCTCCTGAGTGGACGTCTTGAGCAGTTTTGACTGTAGGAGAAATAATTGTTATCCTTGACCATCACCCACCACCGCATATAATGATCTTCCCCCAGTGCAGAGTACTGACGTCTGACTGAAATGTAATTGACTGAAATGTAATTACTGAGACTTTCCCCCCTACCTGTAATTTGTCTAATGGCAGATAATCACTCCAGCAGATGGGCCAGGGAGGATGACCAATGCACCACACCTCCTAACTAAGGTCAACACAATCATGCCAGACCTTGGAGATGATACTTTGCAGTAATACATGTTGATTTAGACCTATAATTACCTCCATGAAAAATGGAGGTATTGTTTTCGGTGTGTCTGTATGTCTGTGTGTGTGTCTGTCTGTCTGTGTTTCCGCAACTTTGTGGTCAGCATAACTTCAGAACGCCTTTATGGATTATGATGATATTTGGTATGTTGGTAAGTCTTAGGAAGACAAACGTCAAGGTCAAATATGGGCCTCCTGGTGGATGACCTTGGTACTGCAGCAGAACTTCCGGTTTTTGTATCTTTTGTCCTGAACATGCTATGGTCTTGATGTTTTCATGACAGATTGCTTTTCCTGTCAGGAATAAGTGGTGTGAGTTTGGTCCCCCTAGCAGCTTGTTCTGTAACTGCAGGCACATTTACATATCAAGCCCATATTTCATGGAGGTATGAAATCTCGGAATTCTTGTTTGGCATTGTAAGTTCATACCACTGGTAGACAACAGCCTCATATGTGGCCTCCAAAGTAAGGCCGCATCTCACAGCACCTAAAGAATGTGTCTGGCCCAACACCCATCCAGGTAGACAGAGGTAATTAACCAACTCGCATCAGGATAATAAATATCTTTTCAACAGAAGGTCACCTCCCAACAACTCATTACTGTTTTGACAACATGTACTGAATTGGAAAAGGCAAGCCATTTCGTGACCATTGGGTCTTGAACAGCTTGAGACTATAAACCTTGACTGCATGATATATTTTTATTTTATTCTTTATTTGTTTTGGCTGAAGATACAGCCAAGGCTTTAACGTCCTAGTATCAAAGAAGGGACATCCCTAACCAAAGGCAAAGCTAGGTACTCATTTTCACCTGAGTGAAGTAAGGAAAGCCATTTGAAGTGACTTTCCCATGGGCACAATGTCGGCACATGTAGGTATATTAACCTTCTTTCAGTTGTAGGCTTAAAGCACTTCCAGCTATTAATCTGTGTTGGCTACAATGTACATTGTAAATCAGCAGTGTGAAGGTTAAACAAGGCCACAGGTGTCCCAAGAAAAAAGGTAATGGGTAATGTTTGGTATAGCTAATCTTCTTTCATCCCAAAAGGCCTTACTGGTCCATGGGGATTGACCATATTTCACAAACATATATTAAAGGCTTTCTCAGTATCATAATCAACTAAATCTTTCTGCTACAGACACCAATTTTGTAGCTTGGATGCCAGACACATAACAAGCAAGGCGATGCCAATCACTTCTACTATACTCTTCACTGGGCAGAAATAAAAGTCCCTACCCTATTATTTGATGTGAGAAATAATGTACATTAGAAAAATAAATCAATAAACAACATGAAAATAAATATTTGCCATATCCCCTGTAGATTACCTATGCACCTATAAAATTGATTCTTATCATTTTCAGTAAGAAAATGCTCTATTTTGAAGCATGGACCATGACCTGAGCTGTCGCATATCTACATGTGTATTATGATGATTGATTTCTGAACAAACAATTATATAGATAGATATCAATAATATTCTAACTAGTACAACAGATTTGAAATTTTGTTTAACTCTATAATATCTTCCCTAAAATTCTGATCATCAAAACCTCCTCGCATTGACGTTTCCAATTTTTGACCATGCACCCCTTGTGCATGTAGCATCCAAAAGTGGACGCCACTCAAGCCTAATTGGTAGGGGGGGTCCTTGGTTCGAGTCCCAGGCAGCGTTTCAGGAATGTGTACACACCTGTCTCCACTCTGTCCCTCTGACTGTTTAATAATGTCACATGCAAACAATGGGGGTTCAACATATGACTCTGTGTTGTTGGTCCACCTATTCAACCTTCGCACTTTGTCATGCTAAGCAAGAAACAAACTTCAGTCAACATAGACTTGATGACAGAAAAGTACACAATCACACGCTGTTGAAATCGTTAAACCATACTAAGATAAATTATACACCGACTGCTGTTGCATAATATGTGCCTTTTCCCCCCATAATGACAGGAAATGATGTCCAATATCTGCTAATGTTGCTAGACTGCAACATAAGTGTTGAGTACATATAATTTTGTTTCCAAATGTGACATGACTAGTCGTTGCGAGTGTTTTCAAAACATTGTGATATTTCATAAACTCCTGTCAGAAATGCACTGTTGCAGCATAACTAGATTACTAAGCCAGAAACTGTATTAAGGAGAGTCTAGTGGTCAAATTCACAATTTGTGATCTTAAGCGGATAAACGTTCCTGTCATTTTAGGGCAAGGTTTCATAAACTGACTCACATAACCAGTGAACTGGCAAACTGTCACATGGCACAACACAACACTTCTTCAAGTTGTCAAGTATAATGAGCTATGAAATGATCTCAATGGCTCAAAAGTGCGTACCCCTGCCATTTTTGCAAAATAAGGTAGGGGCTTTTAAGTGCTCAAGGTGTGGCTGAGACTCCTTAAATAGTGTTTACGATGTTTGCGACGCTTTTAAGTAGAATACTTCTATGTACAGAAGTGCGCTGCTCACACCCTAAGTATCTTGCTCAAACTTTAAAACAGATAAGCAGAGAGTAGCTACATGAGCTACCATGGCAGCCCTGGATTTTAAATTACTGCACTCTATCATTACGGAGATAGCAACACTGTAAAAAAATTAGCACTCTATTTTCCTTAGATAAAGGAGGATACCAGAGTGACACCTGAAAACTACAAAGTACAGATGTGATATGTTTGCTACATCGCTAGGCACTGACGAAGTATTCCCCACTCCATGACTTAATCCAGGACTTACCGGCCGCGGATTTGATATGAAGTGACGATACGCCCGTTCAACAGTGCGGATGCCAAGGTTGCTACAATTCTGCGGCAATCAAACGTAAATGCCAGTGTGGGTTTTAGTAATCAAAGCTGAGGGCAGACATATGGTGGGCAATAAATATGCGGCTTGCCGGACCACTTTCAACAGCCAGGGCTGGTTATAACTGCCACAGTAAAATAGCTGTATTGTGGCTTCTGTTACCTAGCAACAGAGTGATGACTCTATGGAAACATATTCCAGAACAGGAACCAGAACAAGGGCCTGTCACAACAAACAAATTGAGCTTCTAACATGATATATTAAAAGGGAATTAAAATAGCCTGCTGTTTCAAATCTGAGAACTAACACATGGTGTATTGTGGGAAGTATTATGGCCGGTGGTTTGAACAGGAATCTATTCAGCTGTAATGTTACAAAACTGATAAAGGGAAGAAAAGTAACTGCTGTTCGAACCTTTTTTTTTAATCAAAAGGGTGACAGTTTATAAAAATTGACAGTGATTTTCGGTGTGTGTGTGTGGGGGGGGTCAAACTACTTGTGAGGGGGGGGTCATGTGAGGGGGGTCAAACTACTTGTGAATATTTATAATTTTCAACAAACACAACATGTTACCTGTAAATTTCCAGGAACCAATATACGGATTTGTTTTGGCCCATAACATTGGCATGGACAGAATCTGACACCAATGAGTGGCACTGACACAACAAAGATTGATGCCATGTCTCTTGACCAATTCCATTGGCCCATAAATGGCTACTTAAATATGCAGAGAAAATGATACATCGTTTGATAAATACAAGATGTCTGAAGTGGAAATTGATACAGATGCCGCACGCCCAGGGTTAACAAAGGGGTCACTGCACTGTGGCTAAACAAGACCCTCTTGTCAGTGATATTTGGCCAGCTTTCATTACTCAAGAGCCCTTTAATATTTGTGCTGAATAAACGTTCGTGAGCTCTTCTAAGTCCCTGCCACTGAATATCGTTTGTGTGTTTGTGATAAAGGTAAATACTTAAAAACTGATTCGGCGATTCAAACACAAGAGGGTGACCCTGTTTTTTACTTCTCTCAAATTTTCGTCAAGGAGGTTTTGATGCTTTTGCCTTTGAGTTTGAAAGAACACAGCTTGATTTTTGAGTCTTGACTTGAGTGAGTTTTGTGTGGCGGTCAATAAGCCAAGAGACGGTTCGCTGATCGTCAAATGCAAGGGCGGAGAAGTTAATACAAAAGGGCACAGCTTTTTGATGGACTTACCAAGGATAAATACTCTGTAGTTCTGTAGAGCTTGTTTTGTCGCCACGCTATGCTGAACACGCTCGTAAAAAACGATTGTGACTTCAGATAAGGGCGAAATCCTCAAGCACTTGCAGTAACACGGCCCAGAAATTATGGACCTCACGTAGGTAAACAAAGGAGGGCAATGCTACATTGAGGGACGAACTCACGACAACCCAACACGACAACCTTACAGTAAATTGACAGAAAACCTTAATTGGTACCAGCCATGCATTCAATGCAATACTAGTATTTGGGCACAGTTTCAGTTTGAATGACCCTCCACATATTATAAGGAAGTTGGAATTCACGATCCTAAACATATCTTACGCTCTGGGTACAACTACAATGTCGTGCGAACTATATACCCTGCATGTAACGTTACCAGAATACTCTTAAACGATCGCCTTTTTGGTGCATTTTGAGCCCAGTGTTTACATCTGTTTTGCCGGGGTGGTTACCAGAAAAACGGGCGGGACAACCGGTGGGGTTCCCCCGTCAGCGATATATCAAATACCTCGCCACGATAAAATACTGTACTGGCTAGCTAGCTCTCTATACACCAGCTGTCAACAAGTTAGCAACATCAGGGGGAAGAAGCAACACATGCAGCGATCGTGGAATGTGTGAAAAGGGTTCAAACCTACCGTGTGGATTTTGGCGGGGTTTCTGGATTCTCTGGATAGTGGTGGGTGCCTCGGGGGAAGCTCGACTTTCTCCAAAACAGAGGCGGGGTCCTGGATCGCTGTCCGGTCACAGCGCATGCCCTCCCTTATATACACGCACCAGCTGGCACCCACGTGGTTCTGTCCCGCCAGATATGCAAATAAGGCTAGGGTTATACCACTATAAACAATGATAGTAATGAAGGGGTGTAAAGCAGTAGTAGCAGCCGGCAATATATTTGTACTTTAACGTAAAAATGCAAACAAATTTTGCTAATATGCTATGATACAGATACAATGGCTCATAAAATGTTTGAGATATCAAAGAAAGATTACAAAATGGAAAAGTGGAGTAAAAAATTATTACCCCATCCGGAAAAAATATGGAAAGCTGGTACAGTCCAGGGAGATCTGGGTTCCTGGAAATTAATTGGTTGTAAAAAAAATAAGATCGTCCCTAAAATTAGAACAAATTACAGATAAGAACAAAAGGGATTATTTGCCATCACCCTTGGAAACACCACATCACCGGACAGAAAGAAAAGTGATGACGCAAAAAGGAGGATCTTCCTATGCGATTCTTGGCCTTAGGGCGTGTGACATCCTGTTTTATCAATTTTCATTCAGTAGATTGACGTACCATCGTCTTGAATGATCTAGATTTCGTAAGCCATCAGTATTGACGTAACTCTACTAACAATTCAGACCTAATGTTCCCCTCCCACTGAAAAAAAAAGGAATATACCAAAACGTGCAGTATTTCTATCATATTCAACTTAATGCGGTGCAAGATTACATGTTTTCACCATATCTCTCACGTAATCACCTTTAATGTCTGCTTTCTTGATCACAGGCGTCGTTACGGTCGTTAAAGGGTAACTTTTATCAAATGAAAAAAAATCACATTTTGTATTTTTATGAGAGCACGGTTGCAGCTCAGTATACAACTAGATTATAAAAATTCGAAGGGGAAAGAAATTCTATGAGTATGACGCGTACGCAAAACTATTACCTGATAAATTATCATATATCGGTTAACGTTTCCTACAGTAGAATTGCCCTTTTTAAAACTAAGGAGTCAAGTGTTCCGAGGTGTATGTGATTTCTGTGAATGAGGCAGGACAGGCGCTACTTATTTTGAAGAGGTACTTGAAAAGTTGCGGTTGTTTGTGAGTACTTTCTTCCAGGTGTCAGGAAAGCTGGAATGACGTTACCGGAATATTGGCAGACGACGAAAGGGAAAAGATAAAATGTACAAATAAACATAAGCCGCAATACGTAGGAGACTTTTGTGGGCATGCACTCCCAAATCTTTGAGTGGTTTCTCTTTCTGAAACAGGATGTTGACTGATTCTTAGCACTGAAAAAAAAGTACACAAAACGAACGAATCATGAATTAACGAATATAAGGTTCTTTTTTTGTGGATGATCATTATCTTTGATACGCGTTTCCACTTTGCTGGGCTTCTTGGTTTCTATCAGGGGCTTAATCATAATAGGAAATTGACCAAAAATAGGTTGAAAATTGGTCAAAGAAGTTAGCCATCCAGTCGGCAAGTTTGGGCCAATTTCTTTACATTTCTCACCAGGGACGGGCGATACCATCTTATGGACCCGCCCCAATCCTTGTAGGTGTGAAAAACAACCTATGTCTTTTGACAGTTAATAATAGTAACTAGACGCCAGTTTCCATAAACAGTGACGCCTACTATGTCTATACATTTTCGTGCATATTTAAGATTTTGCTCAATGCCACTGTAGTAGTATTAATTAATATTACAGTAATATTACTTGTCCTTCATCAGGTCGCTCCTATTCAGGAAAAAAGAACACAGCGTTCAACCAGATTTAGGTCAAGCACAGGATGTTTTTAACCCCCGAAAGGTGCGAAAAAGTGACCCCGTCTCAAATATTGAAACTAATACATTACTACATGTATGTATAGAATCTGAATGAACGGAAACGCTGCGAGCATACATTTGTACAAACGCAACGCAAATACATTTGTGGTTGTGGACATTTTGGCGCGAAAAATGAAATGGACCCGTACGATTTCAAGTTCACAGGAAAGTTGAAAGGTCCAAAAAAGGAAAACTTGGAACTTGTTTGATGTGTTGTAAAAAACGACTTGCGAAGATAAATATTTTGACGCTTTGTTTATCGTCTGACAGAAAATGGTGACCTGTTTTTCTGAAGTAAACAAACCTCAACAAACTCACAACTTTTTGCATGTCTTAAGTATTTTTCAAGATAAGAAACCATTTTGATGTTATCTGAATCCAATTTGCGAAATTTCGTTTGCAAAATGTGTGAAAACAACGTTTAAATCCGACCTTATCTCACAAAAGAGAGGTCTTTTAAGGATCTAAATTTAGAATCAGGCTAGTCCAATTAACGGCGATTAGTGACATTTGCATTAAGACTCTGACGTCACTAGATGTAAGACGAGAGATAAGCCCATCCACGGACGTATTATATTCTCTTTCTCAAAACACCACCGGCTGTACTCTAGGCTGTATTGTACACATTTGGCGCATAGGACAGGGGTATGACGTATTCTCTCTGAAAGCAAAAGATAACGAGCATAACAGCCAATTGAAATACAGAGTTTTTAAATCACATTGATGATCCCCTGACCCGCTCATTATGGCTACTGGCATCTTAGTACTAGTAGTAAGGTTACAGGAAAGAATTTTGTTGTCGTTTTTAGCTATTTCAAGAATATGATCTTGACACTAAAATTATAAGACAGCAAACAGCATGGAATCAGGACAATTTTAGTACAGTACATGTACGTACACGTACATGAACATTCTAACCGTAGAACTAGAATATGTAAAGTTTTGTAAGGCAGCAGGGCGCACGCTAATGGTGTAGCCTGTACGTTATTAATTCTATGACCGGCTATTGAATCCTGGCATATCATTCCTTTGGCCAATTTCTTCTTTATTCCAGCAACCCATTCGAGTACAGTAGAGACTACTACAGTATGTTCCAGGCCCCATTATTTGGAAATAATAGCAGACTTGAATGGTGAAGCGTCCATACTGAGTAATCACTTGAGGCCAGCTGTCTAACTAACCTAGTCCAATTTATGGAGCGTCCCGCACTTCAAACTATACGTGGTCTGTATGGAGTAAGGCTAACTAGGTATGTCCTTATTGGAGAGGTTTCCAGAATTTTGTACAAGCAAACATACTAGAAATAGATCTGCATTGAAATTGATGAAGAAAAAAAACTTCTCAATTTCCGCAGAAAGCGTACCGGTAGTCCAGAAATGTGTATGTGTGCTCTTGCCTCCTGTATTGTGCATATCTCAAAATAAAAAAAAAATCTTAATCAATACATCAAAGGAAACCATGCTCTATTCATCTTCTATAACTAGTAACAATAATCATGCTACATCAATACCCCATACAACACTGCAATAATGTACATACATACAGTTGAATGAATGAGCCAGAAATTCATAGCAAATTGATGGCCAGCTGTTGTTTTTGTACTTTGAAAAAAATCCAACTAAGGTTACATTCAGAGACCACAACAGATCAGATTCTACCATTTCCTATTTTGACCCGTTCTATAGGATCAATAGTTTCCCAGGAACAAATAATTAATAATTCATGGACTACTGACAACGAAATTCAATTATCCATTTTTTTGACACACATTGGAATAGACAGGACATGCAAACTTCATATTTCCAATGGATTACAAATGGACATCTGTGATTTATAACTTCCACATTATAGTCCATTCCTATTGTAAGGATTTGACAAGAGACACAATAGATGAAAATGCAATTTTTCAAAGAACTATTCTACAGATAAAATGCATTAAAATATTTCTGAAGTGTAAGAATGACATGAATTGTAATACAGTAATTATAAAAATCTCATTCTTTTTCCATAATTTATAGGAATATTTGTCATGATAATTTACAATTTCTCACATTGAAACTGCTAATAATTTATTTTTTCTCACGACATGTAACATCACAACAGTTCATGTATTTCCACTTTTTTCATTAATTTGAACACATTAGCTTACACATGTAGCATAGAATAAAATATCTCAAAATCAAGTGTATTCTTGTAAGGATCATACTTGTACTACAATAGCTTATGGGACAAGTTATTTCAATTTTCCACTCATATAATTCATAATTATTAAAATATCTTAGTCTAAAAATGTAGCACAGGCAAGGTACAAGCATGAGTGTTGCTACTTAAAAACATTCTACTTTCGTGCCAAAAAATGTTACAACGTCAAGCCCCTTTGTTAACTTCCAAAGGTAAGATGACAGCCTGGTATCCACCCTATCCTAGCTTTGGTTTGCTTCTCAGATCTCTTCCTCTTCTCTTGCTGAAAAGTCTGCTTATTTTTGGTGTGTTTTCAGGGGGTTTTATCAGGTTCTCTTTTTTGTACTGGTATCTTTTTTTATGCCAGCCTACAGGTGACAAATGTTAACTGTCTGGCAAATAGATACTGTCTTCATAGCCACTGAAAGATTTGTTTGGAGATTAGGTTCAAACAAGCATTCACGAGTTCGAACACCACGTTCCACTGCTTTTGAGAAATATCTGATTCCCAAATTAATGTAAGGACACAAGAATGTAAGGACTAAACATTTAAGGGACAATGAGGCTGGGGCCAGACTATTCTACAAAGAAGCAATCAGAAGACTGAACCGGAGCTAGAATATAACAGATACCAGGCTAGTTTGCTAAGATTGTTTCCTAAGACACTAATGTTTACAACAGTTCTTCTTCCCAGAGGGAGAGGCTGATGATCTATGCTGTAACTGGATGGATCCGGAATCAGTCAGGCTCTGTGGCAGTAAACTTTCCGATGGCAGTCTCTGAGCTGTATAAAAAAGACACATAACATTATACATGTATCAACCTTTAACTATGGGTGTCATACAGCACCATGAAAGTGGTACTGGTTACCTACAAATTGGACTACAGGCTCCTACGCTCAAGTTGGTTTGATGGATTAGAATGAGTTGGACTTTCTTGAGACATGATATTAGTACAACATTATATTGAAATAAAATCAATGGAATATGTGGACTTTAGAACTAAAGTGCAGAAGTACTAAAACCCTCTATCTTCTGTGGATGCACCTATTCAGCACCTGAATACATTTGTGATGCTATATAATTACAGTAGAAGTCAGGGTTGAAGAGATGTCAATGAAGAGCCATACGTACAGGGTAGCAGCACCATCTATCAATAGCTGAATGAACTACAGCCCATCAGTATCATTTCATGCACAGGGTAACACACTATGGCACATTGAACTACTCACTAATCAAGGTGAAGATCTGAGACACATTGTGTGCGGTCTTGGCGCTGGTCTCACAGAAGATGGCGTTGTTTTCCTCGGCGTATTCCAACGCTGTCCTGGTGGACACTTCTCGCAAGTCCTCCAGGTCACACTTGTTTCCTGCGATCGCTAGAACGATGTTGTCCGAGCCGTACTGTTTCAGCTCACGGATCCAGTCTTTTAGTGTTTGGAAACTTGCCTTGGTGGTAAGGAAAAAGAAAACTCACTCACAGGCAAAACAAATCATCCGTTACTCGTACTTATTGTAAACAGGGCATCTTTTGACAGAATTTAATGACAAACCTTAAAATTTGTTGTATTACAAATATTTGGTATGTGTACATATAGAACATATGGACAGACAGATAGGTAAGAAAAATGTTACCTGATTCACTAGTCCTGTTGCAAGTTTACATCAAATAAATCATGTGTTAATCATTAGATAAAGTTTATCATTGAATTTGTCAATCAATAACAGAGCCTTCATAATGACTGCAAACTGCAGTACATTGTATGTGTCAAACAGAAAGTACAATCTGTCATTGAAAATGATGGCATATCATGTTGAGTGAATAATTGTAGGAAAATAAGACCTGAGCTAGGATTACTTTACATTACCAGATACCCACCTCCCTAGTGACATCATACACCACAATAGCAGCTGCCGCCCCTCTGTAATACATGGGAGCCAACCCTCGATACTGGAAAATGAAAAACACACATTGGTGAACTGAGCAAGCTTAATGCTTATAGCAGACAGGTTTCCTTTGAAAGGTATTCATCCCCAAGAGAAACCCTTGCTTCCTTCTACATCCATGAAATCGGTGGCTACAGTTGAAAAACATAAAAATAAGTTACGAGCATTTACTGTCAGTTGATTACCTGACCTACTACCAATCAAAGTAGCTACAAAGTACTAAATGATTGGTCCAATAAATCATTTGTAAGTACACCCAAATAATTCATTAGAAATAAGTATCATTAATATATACAAATTTGCAGCCACACTACGTATCAAGTTAGTTACAATCTTACTTACATGTACATCTTACATGTCTTACAGTGCTGCAATCACAGTATGTCCAGTGTTACACAGTATTGAGACTTCTTGGAGACAATAAGTCTTGTACTAGTAGTTGACATTTAAGACACAAAGCTTGGTGTCCAGACCTTTTCCTGTCCTGCTGTGTCCCAGATCTGGAACTTGTAGGACGTGTCGTTCACCACCAGAGTCTTAGACATGAAGGAAGCCCTGAGATGGGTACAAGACATCTTGTTAGATGACACGAGTGGATGTCTTCCTGGTCGGTTAATCAAATGTCTAAGTTAAGGTTACTCTTAACATTAAGATAGTTAAATTCAACATTCCTTCCCACACTTAGGTTGCATACATGTAGGTTGGTGCCCATCTCCATGTCTTAACATTGAATTAGACTTTGTCCAATTACGTAAAACACAAATGACTGATTATGCTTCGCAGAGGTATATCAAAGAGACTGGCACAGTAAACCTTAAATTTATATACCCTCAGTTGACAGGCATGAAGAGGGTCAGAGGAAGTTGAGGAAATGGCTTATGACTCAAGTGTGCAGTTGACACACACTCTGTGCCAGTGACAGACAGTACAACAGTGTGTCTGAGTCAAAAGGTCTGACTGGCAACAAATGCCACTCTGTTCATAGCCTAGTCCAGAGAGACCTGCCAGGGACACGGCATGCTGTGCAGGGATATTGAACACTTCCCCTTCTGTAACAACACTTCCACTGATGTCACACAATCACAGGATGGTTTCTTTTCTCGAACTACAATGTTTCTTTTTTTTTTTTTTTTTTTTCATTTTCGATTTTCATTCTCATTTATTTATTTTGCCTGGTAGGCACTTTGATCAAAGACTCCAACATAAAGTAACAACATATGATCACACTAAGTAAGAAAGAAACCGACTAAAATGAATACATATAATGTACATGTACACTCATATCACAAATTGTAGATAAGAGAACTTTTAACATGTAACTAAATCAATGTATAATTGTAACTAAATAGGTTATTGTTTGCATTGTGTTGGACAGAAAATTTGCTGCATGTCATTCAAGAAACGTACCAGTACTATTAATTATCATTAGACAGATCATAAGATAGTGAATACCCAATGGTGCTCTCCAGGTTGGCAGTGAACTTGTCATTCACGAACCGGACCACCAGACTGGACTTTCCTACTCCTGAGTCCTGGAACAATGAACACAGAAGTTGCAGATTAAACTCTCTCATGAATTCTGCAAAGATTCTTTATTGGGATTGACTTGCTCCCTCGTTGACTACTCACTGACTGACTGACTGACTGACTGACTGACTGACTGACTGACTGACTGACTGACTGACTGACTGACTGACTGACTGACTCACTAACTCACTCACTCAGTCATCATGTCATTCATTCATTCGTTCATTCCATCATTAGTCTTGATACCATTTTCAGGTAGTACCAAAGTGGTGTAAAGCTGCCCCCCCCCCCCACACACACAAACTCTTCATGTCATCTTAATGAAAGAACACCGGGCCTTCTTAAGGAAATGAAAGACTAGCATGGCAGCTGCCTTTGACCAACACAAATGGCCTTAGGCTGGATTCTGTATATCGGGCTGTCGATGCCACTTTCGGCATGACAAAACATGAATAAATCTAAGCAAAATAACAAAGACAATCTCTTTGCACACTGCCACGGAAAATTAGGCTCCACCCAAATATATGGCTATCCTAAAACGCGACGTCATTGAAAAAGCAAAATCCCGGCATTGTACAACGCCCCTTAACGACGCAAATTAGGACAACTACTCACCCCTAACAAACATAACTTGATCTCCCGCATAGACATGGCTGCTACAGAGACGCGGAAGAGTTTTGAGACGGACAAGGAAGTGTACAATTCTCTCTGAACGGGAAATTACAACGTAAAACAGTCACAGCTACAACTTAGCAAACATTCGGCGGCCATCTTACTTTTAAGTCAGGTCAAAGGTCAAAAAGTTTTTGTGCAAACAGTATGACGAGCTTCCAAAGTAACAAAGTCAAGAAGGTACAAGAGAGCAAAGGAAAATTTCTTATTAATCTCTGAGATGTACGGAAGATATTTTGTTGACAAAGCAAAGAGAATATAGCGAAAGAGGTTGCGTTACTTGATACTTCCACTTTCATGGCTACCACATCATGAGTGAAGTGTTTCTATTCGCTGTTGTTTCGAATATCGGACGTTCTTGGTTGCCCACGAAAGCTAACAAAGAAAACGAAGAAGGTTTTGGATTCAGTTAAATTCAACCTGCTTCGTCAAAACGAACTAAAACACAGCGGCCTGCAGAACATATGAAATCTGCAAGATGGCCCTCCTTAATGGTGTCGACGTCATTACCTCAACAGGCTAGGACTAAATGGGGGCCCGCAAGCCCTTTTCCGTAAAGCGTAATCGGCCGTTTTTCCGTAGAGCGTAATCGGCCGTTTTAATTCTACGTAAAGCGTAGACGGACCGCTCTAATATTTTTGCGTAGAGCGTATTCGGCGTTTTAATTCTACGTAGTGCGTTGTATCCACTTGGAATTTATCGTAAAGCGTAATCGAGAGGTTTCCGAATTCAGCGTAGAGCGTTGTCGGGACCCCCCCTTGCAGGCCCTCCTAAATATGTAAACTACTTTTGCATGTTCGCATTCACTAACACAAAAAGTAAGAAGAGATAAGTAGCGTTATATAAAAGCTATGTTCACGTACTTAACGCATCATATATCGCATTGTATATAACAGAATGGAATCATGGCATCTATAAAGTTGAATGAAATGTCCGGAAGTCCCTTGCCGAAATCATGACAAGCTATATAACATGTTAACGTACACCGTACTTTCAATACATTTATAGCTTACACAAAGGAAGACTTTCTGTTTCCCAATTCTTTCAACACTCGAATCGGGGCCTCACGGGCAAAGTAAGTGACCTAATCACAAGATTGAAGGAATGTGCTATATGTATATGGATAACACTACATCATTGAACACATATGTGAAACTGAAGATCTAAAAGCCGACGATCTTATATATAACCCCGAAACTGCAAAGGGGCCGATTATCCTGCGACTGACAGGCGAACGTTTGAATAGTTTGCATACTGCGGTGGTTTTGAGCTAAGACCTCCCAAATAGCAAGTCTGATCTTATAAGCAGTGCTCTGGTATAACTATAAGAACAGTGAAAGGTACCTCTAGGATGAACTGGTATTACAGTGGGATTTTGTAAGCATCTTAATTTGCACATTTCTAAGTCTCATCCTACGTAGCGATGGTCAGCTAATACAGCGGGAATGTACTTACTACTTGGTAGGGAATCTTATGTTGAAGGTAATGTTTTGTTCTAGCGGTTTTGTACGGTACTGCAGCGAGGTACTTGGTATGATATCTCGTGTTGTGGACATGCTATGTTTATGATATTTGGTCGGTTGGTTGTGTTTGGGACAACAAAGTCAGGGTCAATTATGGGTACTCCAGCTGTTTTTTTTTTCACACAAGCCAGAACTCGTCTTCATGTGAGTCAAACACTAATTATGAATACCGTTATTAGAGAAGCTTGTATACGGTACAGAATTGTGTGGTCTTCCGGCACATTGGAAGAAAACATTTTATCTCCGAATCTTTTTTGAGACAGAGATGAAAAGAGTCTTCCGTGCGCTATCTCCCAAAAACAAACGCTCGCTGATACCGGACGAATTTATCTGAAGTGACTTCAACTACGATAACTGCGATAAGTTTCATCATTATTTCATTAATTTTCCTGCACACGGTCAAAATAGAGAAACAAGCCAGAAACGGGTGATTTTTTTTACCTTCAGTATTTGAAATTTGCTGTGATATTTTACGTTCACATTCTGCCTGTGAGAAGATTATTACTAGACATATGGTTTGATGCACCACTGCCCAGACAGATACAAGTCCCGTATCTGTCTTAATTGCATTACTGACGCTATGATACTTTCGTTGACGTCACATAGGCGCCCACCAAAGTAAGACAACAGCTGTAACTTATTTATATAATGATCTCTACTGATTGAGGACTGGAAGTACTTAGATTAAGACTGGATGAGTACCTATCACAAGAGGCCTTTGCCGGCATTTGAGCTGGGTCCTTCATAAGTACATCTACCGACTCTCTCACTAAGACGATTTCCCTGGCAAAAGGCGACAATCAAGGTATCATTTTGATTGTCTAATATGTCATTGGTAGATGTTATTTCATGTTGCAAGGTCTATTTGTTACGATTGGCTGTAGTGTGATATGTTTGAATATAGTTCATAACGTTATCCATAGTTACATTGGGAGAAGCCGTTGTCGTATCTACCAAGAACCTCGCTCTACCCAGAGCCATGCTCAGGCACTCTTGTGCTACGTTGACTAAAATTTGTTTCTAAAAATCTCCTATATGATTACAGAAATGATAACCGTAGACCCCGAAGAATACGAAACCCTTGTCGTAATGCATTTTTATCGTTGGAATCTATTTAGATCATTGGTCATGAACTTTTATCGGATAGGATAGCCTCCCTCTTAGGACAAAGTTAATATTTTTAAAGGCATGCTGGCTACCACAGATGACCCATTGCAAGAGTACTGTATAGGCACAACTTGAAGGTTCCGAGAAAAGTATCGATAAAACCTGACTTGTCCAATACAGTATCTTTTTTGAGGGGTGGGGCGGTGTCCTTCTGTATTTATCTGACAGTAATTAATCTTGATAAACTGTGCATGTGCATTTTATCTTTCCTCATCAGTTGCTAAAATCGTTATCTTTGATTAGGAATTTAAAACTCTTGTACATCACTTGTTTCCGTCATGATATAATCCCTTTCGGTAATCCAACATTAGAGAGACTACATTGTGTTGACTGAAGCTGGCATCCGCAGAGGCACTGATTCAAGTGTAAAAAGCACAAGGTGGTACCAGTTATAAGAGCAACATGATATTTCGGGAAGTAAATATAAACATGCTACAAGTATTTCAGCCGGCTCACAATGCAACTATCCATATTTTGGATCCATGCATCTACGTATACAACTGCCTCAAGAAGCGAGAAGTTGAACCTGTACATAGTAGTGCACATCACTATGATTTTTACTTCTGCTTCATTCATTACCTGTACTTTGCTTGTAAGAGTACAAACGTGCAATAAATGTATTTCATTCATTAATTCATGAAAAGGCTTTCTTTCAATGAGGTGATGCCCTACTTCAGAACCCATTACATGGCGTTTCGCCCATTCTCCACAAAGCTTATGACTTTATCCTCCCGTCTTGATCATGATAAGGAATCCTGGTATAATGGACTCCCGGCCCGGTACGTGCTGGCGGTGTGGCGGCGAGGCGGCCATGCCCTGTCCGCGGTGTGAGCTGGCCCGGTACTGCGGGGAACACTGCCGGCAGCTAGACCTCCTCAGGCACGAGGTATGTTTACAACTGATAACGGGTAACCCTGTCCTGATTGAGGTCGTTACACAGTTTCAATGCAAATATTTTCATCCATTTCCACTCTAAGGAGTATTGAAATGAATTCATTTTTCTAGTGGCTCATGAGATTCTTATTTATTAGCCTCTACCAGGATTCGGTAAGAGTAGAAATTTGCCTTATACAGAGACATGACAAGAGAGTAGAGACTAAGAGAGTACACTCACTAGCGGACCAACTCCCCTGGCATGTTATCTCTGTAGTTGGCCAATATCTACCCTTTCTACACTAAACTAGAAAACTGTCATAACAGTTTTCAAAATCTATCCAGTTGCTTGAGTAACTGTTTTCTTGTGTATCACCTTGCCTGGATGCCTAACCTTTATCGACGTGCATGTATGTTGGTCACTTTAGTTTTGCTTTTTGTCGTCCCCTGAAGGTGGAGTGTACAAACTGTACAGTTAGCCAATCCTGCAGCCTCCCGAGCTGCGGCGTGTCTACACGGGAGGCCAGACCCTGCTCCGCCTGTCAGGAGGTGTGGTACTGCAGCCCGGCATGTCAGCGGTCCGACTGGGCCCGACACAAGGCCGCCTGTCAGCAGACAACACGGTACATACGACAAGCAGCCGCCAACATCGCCGCTAGGCTGGCCGCCGACCAGAAGAAGAAAGGTGCCGGGTTGTCCACGACCTACTACTGGGGAAACACGGTTGCGGTAGATCTGCTGCAACTGCCACAGAACGAAGGTTCCCATGGTACCGGTTGCCATGGTGACGGTTGCCATGGTGACGACTTTAACCTTCTTCTGCTCGGGACAGGAAGTATGAGGCACGTCGTCCTCACGGCAGCAGAACTTCCCGAAGAGTTCACCGGTAAAGTGAACTTCGTCTTGAACGACAATGACTTCCAGGTGATGGCCCGGAACGTGCTGATGTTACACCTGCTCTGGAGGTATGGAGACAAAGAAGATGTCGCCATGGATGTCACACAGATCTGGTACTCTATTCTCATCAGCAAGGAGCAGACAGAGATGATCAGAACCTGCCTGGAAGACCTTCTGAACGTGGAGTGTGATGACAATGAAGTGGTTGCTCTCTGTACCGGGCTAATCACTGTCAGGTCTATCCACTTCACGGCGCTTAAGAAGATGTGGAAGACTTGGCTCAAGCTTCTCAACGAAGAAGGGACCAAGAAGTCCGTAACGAAAGAGTTTCAAGCCATCTACTGGAAGCGACTTCGAGGGTTTCCCAAAGAGCCTCGTATGGGAGTGGACAGCCACCTGCTCCGGCTACCCGAGCGGTACAGAACGACGGTGCGAGACTGGTACGAGAACGGGATCCTTATCAGCAAGAGGGACCAGACAAGGAAACACGCAGACAGCGATAACATCACACTCATGTCGACAAACACTCGCTTCGCTAACTTCTTTGCAAAGGTGGCGAGTGCGATAAATGGGGGTTCTAAAGTACCTTACACCATGCCTTGTCCAGAACTAACTCTTGGACTACAAAGTGATTCGACTCCCTTCGGAGCGTGGGACTGTTTGTCAGTCAAAGACTTCTGTGACGACGACTGTGTCCTGAAGATGTACTCAATGTACATCAGCGACAAGATTTCAAGGTTACAGGATAAAATCAAGGGAGACAGGATAACAGTGATGTTCGTGTTGTCTGATTGCCTGGAGGTATCGGAGCACATACCAGAAGGAACGGTGTTCGACCGGATCCACACCTCAAACCTGGCTGATTACGTGGGTTACCCCCGCTCTCCCTCCCAAGGGTTTTCCCAAGCCCCTCCTGCGTAAGACCAATCCTCACGCCGTGACTATAACGGAGTTCATGAACTGGGTCCGCACCGTCCCGGAGCGAGCGACCCTGGGACAGACGGACGCCGCCGCCTTCATCCCATCGGAAAGCCTGACGGAGAAACTGGAAGATGCTGCCCGCAAGGACATCGCTGCTCTTCGATGCGGGGCGACCAAAGAGCTGGACGGAGACCTAACCACTGTGCTCCACGTTTTGAGAGGGAGGAAGGTTTTGATGGAGTACTTCGACAACTGGGTTCCGTTCATGTGGTACCTTCGTGCAGAACTGCTGGCCAGAATGACGCCTTCTTCAGTTCTGGAAGTGGAGAACAACGGTACAAATAATCCAGGAGTCTGTGCCAAAGTACCGAAGATGAACGAAGTTAGCACAGCCTGTGGAATGAAGCTACGCAATTTCTCTAAAGTCTCAAACAAGATCTGTCCCTTTAAACCCCGTGTGAACGCCAAACCCATCTCTGATCCAAACGTGTACCTCCGCGTTCTTGAATGGACACTGTGAATGAAGATAATGAAAATTAACTAGTCAGGACTTATAAACCACATATACGTCAATGAAGGTTAGACATATAGATCATGAGAAATAAAAGAAAAAATAGTTCATATCTCAAAACTATCCAGTTGCTTGAACAAGTGTTTTCTTGTGTAAATGACATAGTTATCAATACAAATGTAACTTGAATATTGTCACAGTGAGGACGCAATTGTGCAGTTCCTACAGTAATCGCTATGTGTCATTATCTTTGGCAGTCCAGTCTTCAACGTTGGCACAAAACACGTGATGAAGAAACGTCACAGTGTGTCCAGGCGTATTTACCTCTTACTAAGTGTTAGGTGCAAATGAAGCAGATTATCATTTAGGGCTGTTATTTTCTAACACTCAGGGGTCATCTTGTATAACGTCAATAGCTGCTTGAGTGCATACAAGTTCCAGGGTGTCCCTGTTTGTATCGTCTATTGTTCATTTATTTATTTATTTGCATATGTATAAGAACAGTCTATAATTAAGTATTGTCTATGATTTTGTATGGACATATAGTCTATGATTTTAACTAGGGTGTTAGGAATTGACCCCTTTACATGCACAGAATGATAGCTGATGACGTTTGAATTATACTCTACCCATGTAAGATTGCGCTTCTTAGACCTTATATTGGATAAGGCACCTGCCCCCGTGGCAGATGCTGCATTGAATACAGGATAAAAATAAAGACAAAATAAAAATGTAAATAGTAGAGATTCTAGATCCCTGTATTCAAAGCAAAGGTGAATAAAGATCAAGGAGTCTACATGTCTTTTACTTTTATTACTTTTCAAAATATTTGGCGATTATTTCACATTTTGGACATTCGTTGTTGGCACTATAATAAAGCAGCCCACGCGAGGTGCGTTCAGTTTGTGGTGCCACCACAAAATGCCAGCTTTAACGTATTTGATGGATGTTCAAATTGCACCTACAAAAGGATAAGGACTTACATAATGTAAAAACGTACTTGTCAAAAACATACAGGATATGGCATAATTACCATAAAGCAGAGCGATTGTTGAAAGCGTAGAAGTGCCATGGTCGTCACCTGTTTCTGTCAACGGTTTTTATTGTAGCTTTATCTGCTGCAGCTGTTGATGACAGGCTGCTGATTACTGAAAAGCTGTAATGGGGGCAGTTGTCGTGGCAGGATATCAAACACAACTGTCGCTACTTTGAGCGCGGCACTTTGGTTGCACAACTAGACAACATCTGTGAAGGTTAAATATTGTGATAATAAGACTCGCCAAAACAGTTATTCAAGCAACTGGATATGATTTTGGAACCGGTCAGACATTTCAGGTAGCGTCTTTCGTCAGTGAAACTGGAGAGCCGAATTCAGCAGGTTTATAAACACGGTTTATAAACAAATTTTAGCGTAGCTAGACAACCTACAGTCAAAACTGCATCCAACAACCACTCAAGGGACCAAGGAAATATGGTTGGTGATTGGAGTTGGTTGTTGGATAAAACTGGGTTGCAATTGGTTGGCTGATAATAATACTCATAACGGACTACATGTATGTATTATTATTCACTAGTAATCACTGCATCTGTATTTCTTATGTAGAAACCATTAAATGATGAAGCACACAAGTTTTCACCTGCAAAATGCATGTTTAATTCAATTGAGCAAAGTACAATGTAACAAGTATGCTGAATTGTTGTCTTCTACAATTATTACATGTAGAATAGCTGTTACTCAAGAGTCAAGTCAAAATGAACATGTACAAGTTTTCCGCTAACTTACGAGAACTCTTCGTCAGATCGTGGACACGGAGCACCTCCACTCGTTGTTGTACTCAACTTGTAGCGTGAGAGGTTTTCTTTTCGGTGACGACGTGTTGAAAGCCATTGCCATACTAGTCTATGGACAACTGACAATATTGACCAAGAACGCTGCGCTTTTAAACAGCTCGGAAAAATTGTCTGTAGCCCCATGACTTCCCTCAAAGAGAGCCGGTCTCAAACAAGAAAAAAATCAGTCATTTATGTTGATCAAAGCTTGAGTGCGCTGACGCCGAGCGCAGCGGCTTTCTTCTTGTTCAATTTGTGTGACGGTAAATTTATTCATGGAGACAACGTTCAGTGGACGATGTGCCATCTGAAGCCAGAAAATCACGGAACTTTTTTCAAAGGGGCATTAAATAAGATGTTTGCTCTTTCTTTCAAAGAAATTCGCTGGCGCTAGCTAGCGGTTTGTTCGCTTGCCCGAAAATCTAAAATGGCGTCGCTTTGAAAACAACAACTAACCCTAACTGTATTTGCAAAACATTAGCATGAGAGCTCATCTGCGTTGGTACATTCCGTAAGAAACTTAGTACCTTCGTTCAACAAATATAATTTGCAATGCAGTTCGTCTCTTCCATTTTTTATGGTAATCGTTGCCAAATCATTATCATACCACTGTTATCAAGACTACATTACCAAATGCACGTTAATATACAGACGTTAAGTATCGGTAATCTGAAAAATAGCTTTCCAGATTTACGCAGGCCATTAATGTAACGTTTATTGAGGGAGAATCCCAGCTCGCAGTAACTCTTGTTCCCTTCGTGCATTGACGTCCACTTCATCAGACATCAGACTACATGACTCTGTGTAGGCCGTGGCCTCATGTGAAGGAACTGTTTCATGCATGTTGTAGATGCAGTCAGTCATGTGTAACTCCAGGGGAATGGGGTTGCGAGATGAATAAAACAAAGGGGCAAAGGTGGATATCAGACTGCTGACCTGTGTCATGATCCTCGCCTTCCAGCCAACATTGCCTCCGGACTGGATATAGACGTAGATATAAGAACTTTCGACTGTTTGTTTCTTGAATTTTTGTTTTGTATCAATGAATATAAATTGTGTGTGTATTTTTAAACCGTGACATAAAAGCTTCGAATTCCATACTTCAATCTACTTTAATGTGTTTTAATTTTGTCTCATACTATACCACATACTACAGACATACTGCATACTACAGAACATTATAAAGTTTAGATTTGGAAACCTAGCCTGTTTATGCGTACTTTGGATTAACTTTGACACCCGTGACTCCTCCGTTCTGTCTAATACAAATTTCAGATAAAAGGCACCACAATTATGTCGGCAAACACATTCAACCATTAGGCCTGTATTACCCAAAGTTGGAGGTAAATGAGACCTTTAACATTATATAATATGCAGTGTTAAAGGTCTCACCTACCTCCGACTGGGTGATTGTGTTGCAACGTCACTATAATTTCATCTCTAATTTCATACAACACATCTCTCCGTTTCATACCATTAAGTAGACCATTCATTTGTTACCGTGTGCAACAAAGTTGCATAACTCTGAGCAACAGTTGACGTGTGCATGTAATGGGGAGAGAGGGAAAATTGGGAATTCCTGATGAGACTTGTTGCTTCAGATCAAAAGGCTTGAAATGCTGCTAATGGATAAAACGAACAAAACGTATTACTTAATATTCAGCGAATGCAGCCTATATTCGTCTATAGGGATGGTACCTGGTGGAAAATCACCGTACGTACTCACATCTGCATTCTGAGGGGAAAATTAAACGTTGGAATTAAAAAAAAGAAACGAGTAGTGTGACTCTAACTAGTATTACAGCATAAACCAGTCATTTGTCATTGTCGCTTTTTTCACATAGCTGTTAGAAGGGGTTTACATTGAATTTTTGCAGTTTTGTCAACTAAAGATCACACAAAGAGCAGCTCAACGCTATAGCAAACGTAGATAATAAGTAGCAATCTCCTTCTGCCTATCTGTCTCTCTCATTCGTCGTCTCTTGACAAGTCGTAAATTGGAAATAGTAGGTTTTGATGCACTAGTTTTCTATGCAGAGATACACTAAGCCCGAGGCTACACTCTGGTTTTGCCGACCATTGGCGTTCCCTGTGGTGACATCTTTCATGTCACATCAACATGTAGGGACGAAAAAGCTTCAACGTGTTTTTCGTTCAAGAAAATGCGTGGGTGGGTGACATATCTCTGTAGGTAACGGATATGACATTTCGAATCCATTTTGAATGATCCCACAGGGAAATACGCCGCAGGGAAAAACATGTCAGAGTGAAGACTCGAATCGCATCTTGATACCAACTCTGTCAAAAAAGCTTATAGCGTTGGCGTTTGAAGCTTACGATAAATCCACTAGATAGCTTGAAGGGATTATATATGCCCAATTTTTGTTACAGTTACAATAGTAACTTCGCTTTCATGCAAATATACCAAGTCGGTAACAGCGCACTACTATGAATGCAAGACACCTCTGGGCTTGTCAGGTAATTGGCATATAGAACAGACGGTTGCAATTTACGCTTGTTTCCGAATGAAGTTGTCAAGTTGTCAAAGCCACCTGTTGCCAAACAACAGCCATTCCTGACGTGTGGAGAATTCTCACCGCAGTTTGGATCAGGCGGGCCCGCTGTGATAGAAGGCTCCCTGCGACGTCCTCCGTCTGTAGAACTGAAAACATAGGCTCTGTCCTTGGTGCTGAATTTGGGATAATGCAGTGGAAAATACACTGTAGTCTGATGAAGGGGTTATATTTCACCAACTAAATTTCATGGATGGCATCCTCCCCAGACTCCAGACTCCAGAATGAAAACTTCAGATCATAAACCTTTCAAAGCAAGAATCGAGGCGACAAAACATGATATCACAACCAACTGGTCTTTTATTCCTGTATTCAACAGTATTACCTGTCCTTGTAGATGTGTCTACATCTCGATTAAATATAACAATTGTAGAAAAGAGCTTGTTGTATCATCATGTGTGTACGGCTACTACGCTGAGTATCCATGTGGTCCTCTGAGATAGAAAGCTACCCGCGATGTCTTCCGTTTGTAGGACTAAAAAACATAGGGTCTGTCCTTGGTGCTGAAGCTAGGATAATGCAGTGGAAAATACACTGTAGCCAGAGGAAGGGGTTATATTTCACCACAAAATCTTTAACAATAGTAATTTGACGCGTCCTGATTGCAAAAACAACATGATAACCACCCACGCAAATATTATTATCAGGAATATATGCAGCGGTTATGATCAGACACATCCAAACATCCATACGTAGTTATCGTACAGTCGGCCACGATTTCATGTGAAAAAACTGGACGGTCCTGTGAAAGTAAGCTTAAACATAACCGTACAATATCCTCACACCACAAGGCATTTCATGAGTAGAGTAGTGTCCTTGCATGGTTGTTGAGTAATAGAAGTTGTCATACATTGTATCTCATGCAGCCGTTGTGCCATTAGTTATAATAACATAATAATACATAAGAATGGGTCTACCTTATGCGATCTGACGGTTGGAAAACTGTTTGATCCCAGCAATCACTTGGCCATGCAACGCGGCATTTTTGCCAGTATTATGAAATTACCCAACTCATAACTACATTATGATTTGATTTTCTACAGTCTAAATCTACCAGTATAAATCCTGGGTTAAGTTATGTCTCAGCATTTTTTGTCGTTCAACACAGTAATTTAGCACGCATTAAAGTGTCCCTAATTCTAAAATCCCATGAGAATTCCTTACACCATAAAATCAAACAAATCTAGTCTATAAGAGAATTAATCTTATGAATTCAAGCTAACGCTTCTTTGACGAGTGATCGTCAAGAGTATGCCATTTATTAAGTACAAGCCCGTGACTGTGAATATTGTGTATATTGTACGTATGTACATGTGTACAGCAACATTTAATGGTCTGTCTTCCCAAATGCAAATCCGCTTAATTACCCCAATTGAATCTCCAGACATTATTTTGTCGAATCCATATGTCAACGGCCGTGCAACTAACTAAAAACACCCTACCAAACCTTTCCAAACAAAGATTACAAATTGGGGGCTTAGGCCGTATCCTTTACAATACGATTCGCACAATGATGACCAAATACCCAACATAATGGGCCTAAAGAAAGCCTCGGCTCAAGTGAGGTCTGGTTCAATTAGGCCAACCCTCCCCCGGGCCCTCCTCTTCCAATCAATACCATGCTTCGGGCCGTTCCAAGAATCACGAATAGGGGACGGCCGCCAGCACTTAAAGGCAGGCCGTTGAACCGCCATTAACAGCACCATATTTGGAACCAACTGATGCTTGGCTGCAGCCAATCACAGCGGCTGTTGTTTCGAGTGATGTCACTCATACACGAGTTAAAAACAGCGCCGATCGCAGTCCGGTAAGCAGATCATCCCAGAGTCGGTGGTTGAAGCGTTGTTGCTTTCCTAGTCTTCGTAACTCGTTCGTATTTTTAGTCCTCGCGGAAGACGAAATGGCTGAGGGGCAGAAGGGGAAAACGTTCCTGGACAAGTATCCTGTTTTCTTCAGCATGTCCAGTCACCAGTTTGCCGAGATTTGGCAGCATTTCGACGCCGACGGTGAGAAAATAATCTTATTTATTTTCAGAAAAGCATATCTGTTGTCGTCGAATGCCACCTGTGCGCTTGTATGTTATGTTTTGCTTTGTAATAATGTAAAGAGCTTGATACTACCACGAACCCTACCACCCTGAAGCAGGGCGCCCCAATATTAAAAAATCGATATGGTCCATCTGTTTTCTATAACGTTTCGTTCGCAGAGACTGACATATATAAAATACAGCACTCCCGGTACCGTATGGTGTGTACACAACAAAGACAACCGCGGATTTGGCTTTATGTGATGCGTTTGTCAAACGTCTTTACGGGTTCGGTCTCGCACGCAATATTGTTAGCGCGCTCTTCAAGCAAATACCGGAAACAGTGTTTGTATATTAGTATAATAAGTATCTGGCAGGGATAGCAAGACAACCGAACAATCCTGACGTATTGTATATCAACGAAGAACAATTTGCAAAATGAAAACATAAAACGCTAGCTGCCCTATTGACTTCTCCCCCTTCATAACGGTATGATGAACAGAGGTTGATATGCCCAGCGAGATTTCTTCAAGTAATCAAACTCCAAAATCTAATCTGAGTGTGATTCCCTAATGTATCCCCTCCCACTTTCATTATAAAGTGATTACAGTACAGTAGAAGTCTGGCATTAGGAGAGTTTTATATCTTTACAAATGGGTTTACGGTAGATCAAAGCCAAATTTGATATATATTTTTCATCTATATGGCAAGTCTCTGGGATTAGTTTTTTGGTCCATTGTTATACTTCATATATTCTACTTGATAACCAAATTTCTTTCTATCTTATCCCACGATGAGTTTTGTCCATTGTGGTCTGATTGAAATGATCCTAGACATAAACAGACAGCTATGTAGATCGTACACTTAGAGTTTTGTAAAATTACTATTACTTTACATGTTGAAATTCAACTGTCTCTAAATCTGCAAAATAAACAACTTCAGACTAAGTATAAATTTGAGTTCCTGAATATAACAGGTGTTTTCGACTACTGAAGCTACATGAAGTCATTTGCATACTGACAACCTGTCAACAACATGTTGTTCCTTTTGTGAAGCGATTTGCCAAGATTCAAAGAGGCTTTCAAAACCACCTGTGGCCACCGCAGGCTGAGATCTGGACCCAGCTTGGCGGAAGAATATTCCACTCAACACACAGATTACTCAGCGGGGGTTTTCGGTACACCGTGTTGTTTTGACACTAGCTTTTGTTTTCTATTCCTATATTTTTTTTCAATATTAGAGCGAAAATAAACGGTTCTCCTCGCGTCTACATTCTTTGTTTATCTTCTTTTTGAGCTCCACTGATCAATTATGTAGCCTAGCACTCTTTTAAGTGTAGTTGAATCTATAGAAGAAATGTGCAACTAACTATAGTATAACCATGGTGAAACAATCCTTGAACAAACAAATCCTTCAACTTCTGATGCGAGAACAACACATTAACAGGTGAACTACAGTTGAAGGTTCCTAGCCCTGGTCACATCTGTGATCAATTATGGGGAATATTACAGCCAATAACAGTGACATTTTCCGTTGCCCGTCTGTTTGTTTTATTCTTATGTTTTTTCATAAATCCTCCCTATTGAGTTGTGATATATACGGGTGGTGATATATACATGCCATATACATGTATACTTTAAGGTATGGGAAGGATTTCAATTTATACGTCAAAGAACACTTTGAGTTTTGACCACTAGATGTTTGAAGAAAAAACAACAGAATAGTTAGTACTTCCTTAGTTCTGTCTCGTTTCTCCCACCCCACACATGATCAAAAACGAACGGTCCCTGATGAATTGTGGCCGCCAGCAGACTGAGATTGCTTGGTCGTGACATTTAAATCCTTTTCATTGACATAAAAGCCTATTCGATTCCATTATAATGACTGAGGCTATATAGGATATAGTCAATGATGTCGAACTACGCCCACACTAGCCACAGTTGCACTATTGTATTACCCTGGCATATCCGCTCGACTTTCAATATGATAATACTCGCCGTGACAAAGAATATCGCCATTAGAACTTCATCCTTACGAATCAGCTGTCCAGGCGAATCACGGAACTGTGATTTCTTGTTCGGACTATTACGCATTGATTTCATTTGAATTAGCATCGGCTAATGCCTGAGTTCCGTCCAATGACAACCCATGGGAACGCTCGCAGCGATAGCGGGTCCCCCGATGCCTGTGTCTGTTAGGGCATCCGATGTAATTTCAGGGCGACAAAATAAAAAAAAAATGATATTCTGGATGAGGAAATCTTACATTCTACCTAAATTGCCGACTCTCTTGCCGCACGCAAGTTTACCTTGAGATTGTCGTCTAACTCATTCGTTTTCCTTTAAAGCAGCCACTTGAGCTTAACAAGTTGAATTGGCAGTGCATGCCATTTAAAAATGTTGGCGCCAGTTGCAAATTGACTGAGCATTGCTTATAGAAACAATCAACATACAGAAGCGTGGAACTACTTGGCAAAATAACACGGCCTATATATATATAGCTGGTCCCTGATTTCTTCTGTTGAGAATGTATCTGTGTCTCTCCCTATGTCTAATGTGATCTGTCATTCCAAGCACGTCGTTAGCCTGGTTACCAAACCTATTATAGCTCCCGAGTCCTACATTCTCTGTAGGACTGTAGGACTCGCCGGAGCTATAATAAGGGTTGGTAACTAGGCTAGCGCGTCGTACCCTGTGTTTTACAGGAAGCGGCCATATCGAGGGAAACGAGCTGGACAACCTGTTCAGAGAGCTGTTGCACAAGCTGGGCAGTACCGATGTGAGTATGATCGCTACACCGCCAACCAATCACGTCACCGCCTGAGGCCGAGAAGCAACGTGATTGGCTTGTGACTTTCCCTCGAACAGCAAAAAGGGGAATGTCTGATTGGTTGACGGCCGTCGCTTGATACTAGTATACAATTGGCAGAAATGTGTTTTCTTTTTTCTCGGTTTAAAAAATATTGACACGACCTAAGATCGATATCTTCTAAAGTATTCCATATCTACGTGTTTAAAGGTAAAACGTTTGTTCCAACACAAAAGGGAATGTTCTCAACCAGTCACGCTGGTCTTCCTCAGTAGACCAAGTGAGACTTGTCACGTGGCATCTCTGAAGTGTGACGTCAACACTGGGTCAAAGGTATCTGGTGAACGATGTCGCCCCCCGTCACGGTTGAGCGAAGGGTGATGGAGTATTTGAGTGCACGCACTGTGAGAAAAGCAGAAAGAGGTTGAAAGCCACCACAATACCCATATTCGACATCTCTCAATAGCTTTAGTATTTCTCCTGAATAGCCTTTAGTCAATGGCTCGACTAAAAGCTTGACGTTAAAGTGTGGCGTTAAAAGCTTTTATTGCACTTATTACAATAGTGTTGGTCGACATGAATTCCCCTGGGGAAGCGCACTGGTTGCAGGTGTTCAATTATTTACACTGTGGTTTGCCTACAGGCCTTGACCCAATATGATATTTTTGATAATTAAATATCACACATTCATAACTGTCATGTACCATAGGAACAAGAAATGAAGTCTCCAAATTCGTTGCCATATTGAAGCGATATGATGATATTTACAATGACAGTAATTGAATAATTGAAAAGAACAGAGGTAACGATGGTTGCGATAAGCAAAACGGAGTTGGAATATATAAATGCGACCCAATTCATCGCGTTCAATATCGCCAGGCTGACGTTGGAATTATAGAGCTGGGAGTTCAGAGGTAATTCAATTAATATCGGGTCCCGGAAATTTGGTTCTATCTACCTTCACTCTAATCCAACAGGCAGCAACTACGGATATATGAATTTGCTTTTTAATCTTTACTTAACGTTACTTCGCTTACAGTTCCTACTAATTTGTATATCATGAACCGTTACATGTTTATCTGTTTATATCTTTGATACACTACCTCTGTTAGCTGTTACCAATAACTGTTGTCGATGTATTCAGTCCAAATACACGACTATTGCTTATTCACAGTAAGTAGACTCTGAATATTCTCGGTTACGGAAATAGATTCAAGGCTACAAACAGCAGACATATAGGTGAGAGGCAGACATTTTTTACGACCTCTCCCATCTCGTGCTAATAGTGATCAAACCTTGAGGAGAAGCTTAACATGCTGTTTCTAGCTATATTACATGCAGATGTAGCCGGGGCTCTCTTCTCATAGAACTAAAGTCAAGCATTTTACAGTGCCTTAGCAGATAAAAAAGAAATATTTTTCATAAAGAGTCCTGCAATGGTCCACAGACAACAGTGATAGTGCCGCCGCCCAAATCATAAGTACCTGTTGCTTTGCTAAACGGATACGGTATTTTGCTTCGTCCATAACCGTGGCGGCAATGTGCCTGATACGGTCTTTCTGGAAAGTCGTATGAGGAATGTATCTGTCCAATCTAAATGGGGCCAGTACTCGCCGTAACGTTATATCAGTTATTACATCTCTCGCATGTGCACTTTACATGATTGCTTCGCACGTTTACGACAGGCATGGCTTTTACAGCTGAAGGCAAACGTTTAGATGCCATTGAGATGAATACGCTTGTCTGAATTCCCAGATGAAAATAAGACATCATGGACGTTCATCACAGTACAATGCTGTACTTTGTTCCAACACATGGGACCACAGTCTTTGTTTGCAACTGGGGACGTCTCACGAACGGTGATCTGATTTGAATACTCCTTACGGGGCATAGATCGTGATTATTATAGCCTGCTAGATGGCGGAAGAGATTATGTCGGTCAAGTACCACTTAGAGACCCACAGTTTCTCCATCTACTCAACTTATCTGTACATAACGGATGTGACGTCGTTTTTTCTCAGATAAGCCAAGAGGAGGTCAACTTCACTAGAGAGGCGTTCCTGTCCACCTATGACTTCACCGGGGATGGGAAGATTGACGTGTACGAGGTACGAGTTTTCTTCTCATTGTTACAATGAAGTGAAAACAAAAAAGGACGCACGATATCAGCTTTCCAATTAAACTAAACAAAAAAATTCTATCATCAATCTGAAGACAGCAATACTATAGTCATTGAAAGTACTTCAGACACACGTGCAAAGATCTTTGCCAAGATGGAAGATGTTTCATACAGACGTCGTTACCAGGATGGCGCCAGTCTCGTTCCCATGGCCATCCGTATTACTTGTCCCAACTGGTGACTGGACCGATCATTTATCCGCACAGACTACATGTAGTTCATGAGTCCAGGGTTTATCATAATAGTACAGCACTCGTGTGAAATGGCACGACGTACTACTTTCAAATCACAATCCCAGATTACCTATCATGAGCACTGAAGCAATCGAGCCGAACCGACACTTTGTCGTCAAATTCTTGGAAAAGCAGATTATCGGATTTCTGGCATCGCTACTTTAGGGGCCCTTCTGGTGGTAAGTGGATTTTATGTGTCTCGTTCAATACCCGAAATACTTTCTGAGGGCTTCCAAAATCCCTGCTAATGTATTGAATCTTACCATTATGAAGTTATGCTTTGGCTGCAGCTGATTTTGGAGAGTTTCTTTACAAGTTTTGACATTTTTGGGCACCACCGAGGTCTCTGTGGGTTAGATGGATGCCCTTTGATGGACAGCGGTACTACACAGGGTACTACACTAGTAGGTGGCGCTGCACTGGTAAGATGATCGCAGTGCCGAACGTGACTAATGTCCACTGGACTCTAGTATAGCGTGGAGTGTATGTCATATCCGACGTATATCCTTCTGTAGTCAGGTATTTTTTACTGCCACGGTAGATAAAAAAAAAATACGTTCTTCTCCTCAGCTGGCCACCATCATCATGCCGCCTGACGAGAACTTCCTGTTCGCGTTCCACCGCCGCCACCCGCTGGACTCCAGCGTCGAGTTTATGCGGGTGAGCGATCTTAATAACCATATTCTATTTATGAAGATTGATCACATTTGTGGAAGGGTCTACATGCGTGGAACAGGTGACTATCACCTATTCAAGATGTCGAACAGACATAAATTGACGCCAAAGCCGAATTGCAGATCACAATTCAGTTACGTATTCAATTCTTGAAGCCATGTTTCAGGCAGCCAACAGGGTACCGTTGGGGTCATAACTGTTTGTGAAAACACATTTTCTGTGTGTTAACAATATTTAATTCTCCGTAGCTGTGGCGGAAGTATGATGTTGACTGTAGCGGTTACATCAGCACTGAAGAGCTGAAGGTGAGACTGTACATGTACATGTTTTACCTGTTTTCAAATGTTGATGTTTCAGTTTTCGTTGGATGTTTGGTCAGCGTTGCCAAATTTTGGTCAAATTTTGCCTGTTGTAGACGATGTCTTTTCCAAAACAACATTCGAAAACTAAATACGGGATGTCATCCTTAAATACGACCTTAATGGGGATGTTCACAGGAAGCGCTAAGACGCAATACGTTCTGCCGACGTGCTTCCGTATTCTCAAGTTACTCATCCATGGTCTTCCCACTACATTCCAAATGCAAAAAAAATGATACTAATATAGCTTTTTCAAATATCTCTGCCAAATATGCAGAACTTCCTGAAAGATCTGATGGAACAAGCACAGAAGCAAGTCACTGCCGAGGAACTGGAAGGGTACACCACGACAATGGTAGGCGGATGCAGATCAATATGACGTACATGTTTGATGTGTAGTTAGTTACTTAATGCGGTATGATAAAGGTATAAAATGAACATATTAACTATACTGTTACATGTGTTTATACCTATAACATGAATGATTGACACGTCTATTTTTCTCGTCATTCAGCTGGAATTATTTGACAAGAACAAGGATGGAAATCTGGAGCTACAGGAGATGGCACGGTTGGAGTTTCACTTTTTATCTTCAATCAGAAAAAAATCTTGAGTTTACATGTACCTTTCCGGTATCTATCATAATTTGATTATAAAGTACTGTGGGTGGCATTTTCATGATTAAAATTGTTCCAATTGAGCTTCAATCATTTCCAGACTGCTTGCACTGAGGGAAAACTTTTTGCTGCAGCTGAAGGACTCGGTATGGAAAACTGTAATATTCAACAATTTCTCATCTACTGATCTCTTTGAGATAAATACATTTGTTCTGATTCCTTGTGGATGAAAAATAATGGGATCAATCACTGTTACTCATCATTTACAGGCAAAGTCCCCAGAAGAGCGGAAAAGTGACTTTGAGAAGGTTTTTGCATACTACGATGAGGTAAGGGTTTCAAAACAAGTGTATAAGAGAATAGGCTATTACTGTTACAAAACCTGCAATTATGCACGGCAGGATTGTTGCCTTTATAAGCATGGTCATGACTTAATTACTTTTGCTCATTTTTGGACTTTTCAATTTTCTGTGAAACATAGTCTTGTCGTTTTTTTGCAGAGCAAAACTGGATCGCTCGAGGGGGTTGAGGTGGATGCCTTCGTCAAAGACTTAATGGATCTCATTAAGGTGAGAATACTAGTAGTACATTTCTTGTATGTCCTTTTCGGACCTGATTCGGTGAGCAGTGGATCGTATGTTGCAGAAAGTCTATGGCGCCCCCGCCTGTCTTCATCATACGATTCACTGCTTACTGAGTCACGTGTAATTGCATAGCATGGATTGCTTATTCCTTGACAAGGACTGTCGAAACATTAAGTCCAATTTCCTTGTGTTGGAAATTACAGATTAAACTCATGATTTCTAATGACTTCTACTATCTGTATCTGTATCTGTATAGCCGGTATAACCGGCTTTCGGCGTAACACACCAGCTTCGCAGGCACGCGGCGCGGCAGCAGCTGGCTATATTACACCGATCGACTTGTTACACCTAACCCTTGAACTTCTAGCTCTAGACATTGTTTAAAGCTATCTAATGACAATGCTCCTACTATCAAAGTTCACAGATGAATTTTCAATATATTTTGTTTCATTGTTTCCAGCCCAACCTGACCATGCAGCAGATAGAGGACTACAAGGAGGCCATACTGAAGCACGTGGACAAGAACAAAGACAACAAGCTCCAGAAGAAAGAGCTGGCCATGTGCCTTGGTGTCCGACTTTAGAGGGCACATCTCTAGCGAGCATGCTGGCTGCATGCACTTTCCTACATCTCTTTGTTGTAGCTATTTTAAAACTTCTGTCCTAATATTGGTAGAAATGATGTGTTAAGTGTAGTATTTTGCATGTGTGTTTATAATGAGCATTTATACAAGTCATATATGACATATATACAAGTCATGTGATAAAATTTCTCTGTGTTGTTAACCTACATTTATGCCAACATTAACACTTGCATTTTTGCAGAAAGCTTTGCATTCAAAGGGGACCGTAACTAAAATGTGCTGGGTAAAAAAATCATTATTTTGCACATCCAGGGTATGTGAACAGTGCAAAAACCATGAATATTGTTATCCAATGCTGGGGGGTAGAATTCAAAGCACAGTGTTAGGAAATGACAAGAAATTACTTTTTTTCATAACAATCCTACATGACGCTTTGAGATGACATATTGGGATATTGACACCTGTTGCATTCTATTCCTTGCACCTTACATTTTCAGATGGAATAAACATGTCAATGCAGATGCTGTGTACGAGATAATCAATGATAAAACATTACAATTATGTATTGTGACAAGTGTGGTTACTACAAGAGACCTACTGTGCCTCAGATATAACTCAACTGGGCAGTGTCTGTTGTGATGACTTTGATTACATGTGGTACTGTTGATGGTTCTGTGTTTGTGCTAGGATTTTTCTAACTCCTCTAAGTGAAGAAAATATTATTTCTCCATCTCAAGCAGATGTTTCAGTTACGTGTTTAAGAATACGCAATACCAGCTACAGACATTATAATAAATCTGAGAGGCTTTGTATTGTTTTGCTTTGTGAATCGTTGTGTCATATATATCATGATACAAAATGTATTAAACTGTTGCTTCCTACAACATCTTCAATAAACTTCTTCCTTGTCATCTTTACACTTTATATTTTAAGTATGATACAAGAACTTCTATGTCTTTTTTTACCCTTGGCTCCTAAAGTGCTGCAATTAATATTCTATGTGTGTATGTGTATATTTACACTTAAACTCAGAGTAAAAGGTTGTGGTTCATGTACATTTTTGTAAGGTATCGGCACCAATGTCTTTTTAAGTTGACTGGTAGCAAAAAAAAAAAAATACTACATACATGTATGTAGTAATCTACATCTTCCAAATTTGGACAATTGAACCTCCTTGGTTCAGAAAACTATTCTTTTTACAGCTGCCATCTCTTCTTTTCAAATTTAACACAGTTTCAGTTCAAGTCCTCCTGAATCCGTACCATCACCCGTCCATCCCTGGTCAGTGATGATTTGCATATATGTTAATGAGGGCCTTCAGCTGCCTGCGAGGGTACTTCAGGTTTAAAATGGCCTGCCGCAGAGCATGCTGGGACGGGTAGACACTGTCAGCCTCAGTCTGAAAATGTGAAGACATTTTGTGAAACAGAATCACAATACCGGAAATGAGTCAATAACATGCCTCCTTGTTAACTGTTATATGAGTAAAAAATGTTGCTCCTTATTCTAATTTCTGCTTATAGTTGGCAATGCAAAACAACACTTCAGCCCTTTCAAGATATAAAATGGATGACAATTTGTATCCAAATTGAAAAATTACTGATCTTACCATAGGTCTAAAGAGTAATACTGAAAAAAAAAATGTTGCATCAAAACTATAATCCAATGCTGTAACCTGAAAGTGTAGATATGAAAAAAGGATATTCTCACCTTATCAGTACTTGATGGGCCTGGCTTGTGAGGCTGGTGTGATTCCTGAGTAGTAGGGGTGGAGCTTGGTAGATCTTGTGACTTCAGGAGGACTGGAGCTTTCTTCTTGGTACCACTCTTAAAAATTGGCTTTTTTGTCACAACTTTTGACAAGGTATTGGGAGCATTCGTAGATGTTCTAGTCTTTCTTGATAGAGGACTCATTTGTGAGGAATCAAGTTTGTGCTTTTGAGAGTTTTGTAACCGGTGAACCCCTGCCGCTTGCCACAGAAGCTCATCATCATCATCATCATCATCGTCTTCCTCAGCGCTCAGTAGGAGTGAAGGTTGGTTGTCCAATGGGTTCTTTAGGTACAGGTCACCCATTGTGTCACTGTCTGTCTCATGAAGACTACTAGTAGAAAACAAACATTCAAATGGATAAATTTGGTTTGCTTGTGGACATCAACTTGATCTTTGTACATGTATGTGGCATATGGTTAATAATACTACATGCACCAGTATATTGTACAAAACCACATTATCATCCAATGCCAAAGTCTGTTTCTGCAGACAGGGTATTTAGATCAGGGTCTACAGGTGAGGAAAAGAGGTGTAAGTACAAGTCCCTAGGCATCTGTGGCCATATCTTTTTATTAGACCCATCGTCTACAGAAAGAGATAGGGACTCTGTACAAGTTTACAGGCACCTGTGATCCTGTTTCTTATCACAAACAGAGGTCAGACTCAGAGGCAAATTGTGCGCTGCCATCAAGCCTTTCCATCAGTGTGTAAGCACGTCTAACCCTCAGAAGACGGGGAACAACTGACACTAAACTGGATAGTGAGTGAGGGAGTGTAAACCTGTGGCCAGGGCTGAGGTCCTTCTTCATGTAGAAGTCAGGGGGAGAGGTCCCTTGTAGGGGAAGGTCCCGACCCATGGCCTGCTCCAGGTATGAACTGCCCACTGATGACCTCTCACTGCATGGTGGGACGTAGTCTGGCTTCCATTCTTGTTCAGGCAGAAAGAAAGCATTTTGCATGAAACATAATCATTGAACTTTGCACTTTTTGACAATCACTGTTACATATTATATGATAAACCACCCTTTTTTCCTAGGCCTAATATCAGTGGTGTTTGAAGTATCAAACCTTCCAAGTCTGCCAGTTGGTCCACCTGATCCTGGGGGATCACAAGATGACTGAGGTCGTAGATAACATGGTCCAGCTGGGACTGCTGGGGGGATGGGATGACAAGGTGAGTGATGTCCCTCTCTGTGATCTCATCTTCTTCAACACCTTCCTGTTGGAAAACACGCTTTCAGTTTGGGTTTTATTCCATCAATTGCAGGAACTTTGTGAACAGCGTGTGCTGCAAAAAAATACAAACCAATCCATCGACCTTGGGGGACAAAATCGACAAAAATCTTGGGTAAAAATATAAAAACATATAAACCAACAACCACTCTCAACCAAATGTGGGAATTGCAGAACAGCCATTGGTTTTCCAACCTGATGAAACTATTCTAAATTGTTTCATATTGTTCTGGCATAAAGAAAGTACCCACAGCATGGCAAACCATAGTCTGAGGAAAATGTGTCAAAAGGATTTGTACTCACACTATTGTTGTTCATTACGTCAGTAACGTCTGCTTGAAGATGTTCCTGTTTAAGAATACTGTTTTAGTATTGTTTTGGTATCTGAAAAGAAGGGTACTCAATGGCCCACATTATATACATCTTCATTGAAAACATGTCAGAATAATTTGGTCTTTTATGACATACCAAGAGTAACTAGAATTCTGTAATTAGACAAAGAATTAAGACTCCATAAACTGCAACTGGACATGACATAAAAACATACCCATAAATTTGAAGACATAACCCAAAGTTTCTTTCAGAACTGATACTAACTGCAATTCTTCTGACTTCTGCTAGGAGGCTCTGCTGTACCTGAACTTTTCACCACACACATGAACCAATACTCACATCTACATCTGCTAGTTCCATCAGCTGGGTCAAACTGGAACTGGCTTGAGATTCACTGATGTTATCAACTCTATCTGTTGAGGAGCCAACTAAAAAAAAAACAAAAAAACATGTAAGTCGGAGACACCAAGAATGAAGCACTCAAAATTTATTCAATTTTTTAAGCAATTGAGAAAAAACTGGCTGACTCATACTATATATATGAGAAAATGTACGAGGACTGCAAAAAGCAAAGCAAAAAAAAAGTGTGTGCCAGAAATAGCTGGTTCAGTACTCAATATCCCACAAACAAAGACTTAGTGCAAAATGTTTGCCTTGGTTTCCAACTTTCCGTGCATTGAAATTTATATCCACTGGACTTTGTCTAAAGGTACAAATATTTATCCTCAGGCTTAAGTCTTTTAAAAGGTTTGGAATCTGAATTATACTGAAGTTTTAACATCGTAGAAATGTAACTTGTCAACAGTCAAAGTTAATTCTTTGCACTTTGATTGCGACAAACTTTGGGAGACGACTTTATATTGACAAAGACTTAAGTCTTTTAAAAGGTTTGGAATCTGAATTATACGAAAGTTTTAACATCGTAGAAATGTAACTTGTCAACAGTCAAAGTTAATTCTTTGCACTTTGATTGTGACAAACTTTGGGAGACGACTTTATATTGACAATTCCACAACAGTACTTTGTTTCTTGGTAACAGGATTGATAGTAGTGAGCTTGCTAATAACATATTTTTGAGTCTGTGCACGAAATACCCTTTAGGCAAAGCCTACTTGATCCTTTTTAACAGTGACTTGCTTAGGAGACAAATTTGACATTTTTTTAATGCTAGGTAAACTAAATTTACATTCATGTCTGTCAACCTTTTCTTTGAACTTTAAAATTTTTTTTCAGCCCTTATACACAAATGGAATAATGGTGAAGTTTGATAGAAATGCATAAGTTAATACAGAGTTGTTTATCTAAAGTCATACCTACATGTTAAGGTTAAAGATGAACCCTTGCAGCATCACACCTCTTTTTTCTAGTCAGCCTGTGACAATTGGAGAGTTAAACCCTGTACTAGGCTTACCTTGTGTCTCCTCCTGCAAGTCTCTGTTTCTCCACTCATCCCTGTAAAAACAGTACAGCAGGTACCATGGTAGAATCCATATATTGGTGTTCTAACCAGCATCCATCTTTGTATCATTTGAAGGAATTTCGGACAAAAATTTTGCTCAATTTTGCTCTTTGACCAACAAAAATTGAAATGTAAAGATATAGAAAGAGATGTCATTAAACTAAACATTGTCTAACAGCCAGACTACTACACTCACAGTGCATGCAAAGAATAAAGCACCTGAAACAAACTTCTCACCTCTGTACCTCTCTTAACAGCCTTCTGACATGTGGCAGATCATTGCTATACAAAAGCAAAAACACTGATAAACATCTGGATGACAAAATTGGAAAAATATTTCATATGAAACACAAGTTCAAAATGTTCAAAATACAAATTAGTCTAAGTTAAGTCTATACAATTGAAATGGAAAATAACTGATCATAAGGACTGTTCCAAAATGTTTGCTAGCGGGGGAAAGGGTAAATTTTTAAACAAATGGTTTATACTTCAGCACATGATTTTCAGGAACACAAAGTGTAAGTACATATCTGTATTGTTGTGTAACTCACCACTCCATGACATCTAAGTTGAAGTGGCCACCATGACCCCAGGTTGTGAACTTTTCCACGTACAGCATGTACTGGTACTCAGCCCTGTTCTGTAATGTCAGTAACAACTTACGTCAGTATCAAGTTTATTATATCTAAACTGTAGTTTCCAAAACAAGAAACTGAACTTATCAAAATTATTGGACTGTACAACTCCAGTCTTTGACAATGAATGAATGAATGAGCAATCCACCGCTTCTGTGACATCACCTTTTGTAGATGACACATGTGACTTGGTGTTCAGTGGATAATATGTTGAGGGACGGTTATAATGTTTAAACATTAAACATTGGACAGTTATCATGGAAACCTAATTATAAGTATAAAAAAACAAACAAATAAAATAGTACTAGTAAACAATTGTCTCACTTGTATCATGATCTGGTTGATGAAGATTGAGTACTTCCTCAGGATGATGTACATACCTGGTAGACTGTCCAGCTGACTTTGACTGTCACTGAGAACAAACATGAAGTTAAGTAGAGGAACTGGAGATACTACTTCACACTGCTAGGTGGCACAGTGGCAGATCAAGAGGCCAAACTAGTATTCGCCTATGTGAGACAGGGACTAAGATAGAACTTTTCATCTGCAGATGTGGGTATGTGTAAAGTAGATTCAACTTACTTTTCCTCATCTACACTTAAGGCTTCATCACTAAAGACAGCCTTGACGGAGCATTGGTTGTCACATACGGTTCCCTCAAAGCCTGCCTTGTCTAGATTCTCCTGAGTCTGACTGTCCTGTACAGCGAGGGCTATCTCTTCTCTGCGGTTCAACTGTGGAAAAGAAAGAAGAGAATAACATATACTCAGTACAATTGAATTCTTCTCTTGTACAATGTAATTATGTATCACGATTTACTACATTTAGTATCTAATCTTTGGACATGATCCTAAGACGAATCTACTTGTATCTGTAGCTCCTCAGCTCCAATAGTTTTACCTAGACACCCCCTTAGATAGACTGAGAAACTCGAGAGATAAATTAGACCCCCAGGTGCTAACTTTGGAATTGAGGCTTCTGGCTTCCCCCAGCCGAAGGGAGCATTGTGTCGAGCCAGGGTCTAGCATCTTGGCCACAAGAACACTACAATATCTGGAGGATGGTAACTAGGGTAAGGGTCAACAATATGATAAACATGTACAGTACATAGATCTCAGACAAAACAAAAAGAAACTTGTGGTGGGTACTGGGACCAACCATGAAAAAACACCAAACACTTTTGTCTTCACCTCTATAAGCCTTGTGAGAACGGCTGCAGTCTGTTCTTGGCTGGAACTGTTCATGATAGCATCCACTATCCACGGCTTGAGTGCGTGCATCCTGTGGAAATTTCACAGCTGCATCAGCTACGGTGAGCAACCTGTAAAAACAGTTGTAGACCTTTCAACAATGTAAATATGCAAACGTTATGCTCTCAGTCATGGTTTTCATAATTTCTAAAACATGTCATATTGTAAGATATATCGTAGAAATTAGACCATTGCGCCTCTAATGGCCATTGACAGGCTAAAGTATGGAAAAACATCTTATTGTCGATGACAGGCTTATTAAAAATTGAACAAAATTTATGGCCTTATTATTTACTTTATAGCCTCCACCTTTAGTAAATTACTAACTATTCAGAAGCTGAACTGGGTATGAAAAGACAGAAAAAGCAAAAAAATATTATTTACAAATAGATGTATATTTTAAAAGTGTACTCAGAATATCTTTAAATGCTATAAAATTAATTGAATTTTATATAAACAGTCTTTTGACATGACATTAAAAGGAATAATTTTGGCCCATGATCACTTGTCCCTTGCAATGGCTACTCTGTCTTGCCACTCTTTTGTACATTGCTTAATCTATCACGTGCAAACTAGACCATACTTACCTATAACGGAGAAACACCTATCCCCTTGCATGTAACCTGCAGCTAGTGAGAAATATCGGACCTCGAAAAAAACAAAAATTATTTTTTTAGACTAGCCGCCATTTGTAATACCCACAGTGCTTTGCGTCGGTGTGGTTACGTCACCAGTTTGTGTCTTGCCTGAAACAACCGTGAAAATTTTACTTTCTTAATGATTCGGGCGTTTCAAATTCATATTTTGAAATTTTGTTTCATATTTTGATATTATAAGTGGTTTTATCCGATATACCTGTTCTTTGTTTTCTAGTTGTGGACAGTTTGGAAGTTGGGCGGGGATATGACGTCATCAAAACACGCGTATTCAATTTCTTGGGGGCTGCCGACTTCATTAGAGATGACACTATGCATAGAGGGCGGACCAGGCGCTGTTTCTGCTGACTTCTAACCCTATTTTACCCGTCTGGTGGACCAGGAAGGCGCTAGAATTACACCAGAAGAGGCAGGGAAAGCCTCGAGAATGTCAGGAAAGTCAAAATCGCTCGCTCGGGTGAAGAGCGGGGTCGTCGAGGTGAAAAGTAAGGTAAGAAAATTCCGTGTAGAACGCGTACCCTTGTCTTGGTTTGGACTTTCGTTGTTGTGTGTTGAGGGCGTGTTTTAAGATCAAGGTACAGGGCTTGGTTCGATTGTAGGGCGCCAGGCTATTGTTTTAAGGTAGGGGAGATTCTACGTGAAATTTGTGGTCAAATTCGCTAAAAATGGAAATCCAGAGGGGCAACAGTTTTCATGTGTTTGTTGTACTGCACTGCATGATTGACCGCCGGTGTTGGTAGAATCGAACCGCGCTCGCACAACCGCCCAGCCTAGCCTACATATTTTGACATAGTCTAGAAGTTTGACCTTCTTTTCCCTCCCCCTTCGATAAACCTGCATACCTCGTTCAATCAGATCCAAATTCCACTGTCTCTTCCACTCCAACCTTATACAGTTCGACGCCGAATACCGACGTTGGGCCCTGGACAAAACGTCCATCGAAAAATTCGACGATTTCTACCAACTTGTTGAGCGAAGACACCACCTCGCGGACATTCCCTTTACGCTGTGTTACACGGACCCACACGGCGACCTCCTACCCATCAACAACGATGAAAACTTCGTCAAGGCTATGAGCACGGCGGCTCCCGTGGTCAGACTAATCGTGCAGAGAAAAGGTGAGTTCTGTCAGATTTTCTTTCTAGGCTGAAGGGGAGGGGGCACTCGAGCTACTCCTATAACAAACCAAGCATGAAGTACCTTTACCGTGTAATCGAGCCGAGTGGGTGGTATTTTCTGGGTTATGGACAACTCTTAACTCACGATAAACTTGAAAACCTGGTTCCAACCAGTTTAACTACCCCCTGGGAAACCGTTAAAGGCTGCAGGAATTCTTTCATCAAACCATCTGGACTGATTGAACCTCCCAGAGTTTTTGAAAGGTTGAGGTTCTGAACTTGGAGAAACAGATGTACATGTAGAGGTATAGCCAGGATACACACTGCCATGGGAGCTTGTCTGACTCAGCACAAGAGCATCTACTTCCTGTACTTTAAACATTACACCCCCAATAATTCATCGTTATCTGCTAATAGTTCTGAGAAGGAAGCAATTTCAAGCTTAGTTTGCACTAACATACTGATTGTTATCACAGGGTGAAACAATTTTCCCTTCTTGAGTAATCCTCGCTTGTTACGACTTCCTGCTCTCAGCAGTGAAGTGCAGTATCCCCCTTCTCGGTTTGTTTAGTGTTAGCTGAATAAAGGTGAAATTTGTATCTAAGTAATCTCGGATATATCGTAGTCATAGCAAGGAAATAACAGTGGCATTGGTCATGTGTATGGCTAATGGAAAAGGTAATGGTTAGAGTAGGCACGTATCCAACTAATTCCATAGGTAATGTGTGCATTTTAACATCTGTGGTTTATCAAGTAGAGTTGAATGCCCCGTGGCCCGTGTACATGTATCTAAACACCTTAATTCTGGACTACTTGATCTGTTGTTTGCCTTGGCACGGCCGGTAGCCCCAGATTTAGCGAGCATGTTTGATATGTACTTCCCCCTTCCATTTCACCCACATATCGGATTATGAGTTGACATGCCAGGTATGTCGTGGTCGCTGCCAGCCGGGATGCGTAACCCCGACGCACCGCGCCCGGCTCCTGTCGAAAGTAACGGGTCACAGGTTTCCGTGCGTCCAAGGAAACACGTTCAAGCGCATGCAGGAGGAATGCGATCGTTTCGGGGTCACGCCACCCCAAACAAAGCCTTTTGACAAAGGAATTCGGGGACAAGGAAAGCCAATAATGACTCGCCTTCCTTTGAAACAGACATGCCGCAACTAGTCATATCCATACCCTTCAAAGTTCTCTGTCGCTCTGGCGCATACCAAAGGAATTCCTAAGTATTAGCTACTGCCCCAGTTCAACTGCCTCAAAACTACTCTGCAGCCCTCTTTATCTGGTGGGAGTGTAATTCAATTACCATCCTAGCCCTTGGCTGATCGATCTTTATTATTAGATCCTTGTTTTGCATAATTGATTAACGTGGTTTGTAGTTCTGTCAGCCACGGACAGTGTCATGCTAAGTGGTTTGGGGGGAGGGTTTGTGTTTTTGTTTGGAACAAAAAAGGGTCGGAGCATTTGAGGGATTGTTTGTTTATTGCAACTGGGTCAACCTAAGACAGAAGTGGTGTGTATGGTAGGGATGTACACAGTTGAGACACCAAGCCTGCAAGCCTTTTTGTCCTCAGATAAATAAATGTACAGTTTTTTTACGAAACCCTCCTTCTGTTTGTAACATTCCAACCTTACCGCATACACTACTGTAAATTACATTGTAAAGTACAAAGTGGTTTAACTATTTGTCATTCAAGCAATCTAAAAGTCTTTAGACAACCTGGTAACTCTTTAGCCTTGGTTGCTGTGCAGGAATATCCACCAGTCTCTAGACTAGAGTTTACTACTGGCACAAAAAAGGTGAGCGACTGAAGTCAGGGGAACAAAAGTTCCTCAGGTAAATAGAACTGTGGGCGGAGGTATGTCGTACATTCATGAGTCAAGTATTGAACATATACCTGTACCAAGGAACTTGTGTTTGCTGTACCAATACACAAACATGAGTCAGGGTACTCTCAACGAGTAGTCCAAGTACTGACTACGTTACGTATACGCAGCAGCAGGAAGCATACTTAGGTGCAATGTACACATTAGAATTTTTTACACACAAAGTATACAATTTAAAACAATGGCAATTCCATTGGTTCTTATTTGAATATGACAACTGTTAGAATAAATTGATTTGTGGGAGACTTTGACCGTTCAAGTCTGTACCATATGTCTGGATATGATGCAATCATACTATAGTATAGTAGTGTCAACATGTACTAGTCACTAGTACATGTTGACACTTTGAGGTCATAGAGCTATTGTGGTGTTGTATAAGTCTTGAATGAAGAAGCAGTTTACCAGTATTTACATGTACTATTGTGTATCAGAAAATCTATCTGGTGCAAGATTTTCTAAAGCATGTCAGGATTAAAATTTGTGCCTGTAAATAATGATATTTAAATCTATTCAGCTTCTAGCTACAATGTAGTTTGTCTTCTTTTCATATTCTACATACCAGCGTTGTCTCACTCTTTGTTCCTCTGCAAATGATAAATAGTTTTACATGGAGAACAGATTGTATTTGTACAATAGGACACATTTTTGTGCAGTAGGGAACATTTTTGTGAAGTAGGGCATATTTTTCATGTTCGATGCCCCCTCCCACACCTGGAGATTTAATCACACAGTTCCCACACAAATTCTTGAAGCAAACCACCCTTGGTGATTCCGTTCATGGTTCAAATAGCCCTGCAGCCGCTGAATTGTGGTTAGATAATGCTGGGATCTATGTAACAGCTGCTATTCAATCTGAGATTGATGGTACAATACATGACATGTGCATACAGGTGTATATGTTATCTGTACCACTGTGTAGAATGTCATGAATATTCATAAGCTATTGTTAAGAGGGATTAACGGCATAACTCACTTTGGTTCATGTAATCCATTGGCAAGGTGTCAGAATTTTAGCTAAAAGAAAAGGTTGACCTGCTATAGTTTTTTTATCTTTGAATTCTTTCAGTAGTGTTCTTTTATCATAGATTCAGATTCCAACTAGAGTTCCACGATCTCATACCTTCGCCAAATGATGTTAGCTTTTATGATTAAGAAATTATATATTAATCCCCCTAATTATGCAAATAGGATCCTCAATTGCATGAATTATATCTGTTGATCATATTCTCCACCAAAAGACAGTCTTATCTTAACAAAGAATGCCATGATGAAACTTTCTCATAAATTATGCAAATCAGATCCTTATTTGAATAAGTTATGTTTAATTATGTTCACCTTAACTTAACTTTCAAACACCCCAAGTATAAAATTCCAGGCAGTTACCACTATGCAATTATAATATTTTCTCATTAATTATGCAAATTAAGTCTCCATTTGCATAATCGATATCTGTCAGTGTTTCTCTCATTCTTAATAACATATGTCACAAGCTTGAACTTCCTATTATGGAATGCAGCTGATAAATAGAATTTCCTCATTAATTATGCAAATTACATCCATATTTGCATAATTGTAATATCATTATGTCAAGCATCACTCAAGCTACCTACATACCAAAAATCATGGTGATCCATCAATCGGTTCTTGAGTTATCCCCCTTTAAACATTTGTCCATTAAACCCCCCTGCAGTTCTAGAGCAAGCAACTAGGGGGCTCAAACTCATGTCACTTCATCCCCAGCACAAGACCTACCTGCCATCCAAATTTCGTCACCCTAGCATGTCTGGATCATGAGATATCAAAACCGGAAGTTCTGCTGCAGTACCATGACAAGTCGCCAGGTGGCCCAAAATCTAATCATTTTGAGGTCTCATCAAGACCTACCCACCTACCAAGTATCAAGACAATCCATCAAGACCTTCTCAAGTTATCGTGTTGACAGACACACACACACACACACACATACACGAACGCCCCTGAAAACATAACCTTCTTGGCGAAGGTAATGAAGACAGCATTCAAGAATATAGATGTCCTAATTTCTAGTGATGAATTCTTATAAGATTGAAACAGACCAAAAATGATAGCATGAAATGTATAGCAACAGTATTTCTTACAGATTCATGACCCATGAAATCTTTCATACATGTAAACGAATGATATTTATAATCACAGATTAGACATATTCATGTCAAATATTTGTATGCAATATATAGAATTTGTGCAGTGAGTTTGTGAATTGCAATGAATGTTCTGACTTATTCAAATGCATTTGTCTTCTTGTATTTTTGATGGAAAAAATCTTATGCATTTTATTGAAACCTCTCTACAGAATTGATACTGATGATTTATATAAACAAATGTAAGTACACAAGATGAATATGATGATGATAAACTGTAACTAAGTAAGGATAGCAAAATGATTTCTTTCACATGTTGTACGGTACCTGTATTGTCAGTTTACAGAAATACTTTTTCCTACTTACTTGTAAATTGCTGGTTGCAGGTTGGTATTATAGCATGTGTTGTTCCAACATTACTGCTTTTAGGTATAATGTCTGAGTTCTACAAAATCAGGCTGTAAAAAGGTAGTTTTACCTGGACAGAAAGTATAAGCAGTGAGGTATCATTTCCAGACAATCTGTAACCTGTACAAATGTCTCCATACATGTGTACTGTCATTGACTTTCAAATTTTAATGCTTGTAAGGTTTATCCAATTTTAAGACAACAGAATTCTGGCATATAAGCCTACCGATAAAGTCAGAGGAATTTTATACAGTATATCAAAGTTCAAACCACTGAATTTTTTTTCAATTGTTCATGCTTTGATTTTAATACCTAATTTCATACAAGAGCATATCAGTATCAAAAACATTTGCCATCAGTATCAAACCGCAGAATTTTTTCAATTGTTCATGCTTTGATTTTAATACCTAATTTTATACAAGAGCATATCAGTATCAAAAACATTTGCCATCAGTATCAAACCGCAGAATTTTTTCAATTGTTCATGTTTTGATTTTAATACCTCGACTACCTCTCACATCCATTTTCTTGAACAACGTGACATGAAGCATGGGTCTGTGCTTTGTACGAATCATGGAACTGTCA